CAGTTCCCTTGTGGGCGCCGCATCGATGGCCGACTTGCTGTGGCAGTTGAGGAGGGTGGGATCAGCCCCGCGACTGAGCAGCAGGCTGCAGACTTCGACGCGGCTCTTGGAGGCGGCCTCGTGGAGCGGCGTGAAGGCCCACAGATCGTTGGCGTTCACATTGGCACCCGCCTGGATCAGCAGCTTGGTCACATCGAAGTGGCCGTAGGAGCAGGCATTGTGCAGCGGCACCAAGCCGCCCTTGTCCTTGGCATGCACATCCGCCCCGTTGGCCAGCAGGATCTCCACGATGCCGATCCGATTGTAGCCAGCCGCTAGATGGAGCGGTGTGGAGCGTCGTCCATCGCTGGCATGACAATTCACATTTAGAGGTGTGAGTAGAGCCAGCAGGCGATCCTCTGCCCCCGAGCGAGCGGCTTCCAGTAGTTCATCCTTGCGATATTCGCCGGTCAGAACAGGACGCGTCGCCTCGTCCGCCAGTTCCAGTGGCGTCTTCTGCTCCGAGTTCCGGATCGTGTGGTTTGCACCATGCTGCAACAGGGCCAGGCACACATCCACCTTGCCCTTGCTAGCCGCCTCGTGCAATGGAGTGTAGTTCCAGTTGTCGGTGGTGTTCGGACTGGCCCCCGCTTTTAGCAGCAATCGCACCACCTCCGCGTGGCCAAAGGAGCAGCAGTTGTGCAGCGGATGCAGGCCGCCCTCGTCGCAGGCCTGAATGGAGGCACCGCTGTTCAGCAGGAATTCGACCACTTCCCGGCGTCCATACCCTGGGTAAAAAAGAAAATAATTAATCATTAGATGAGTGTCATTTAAGCTCTGTGTGTTTTAGTTGATGGCAAGCCCTAGAAATGTACGGGAAGGTCTTGCCTTCAGGGTGTTCTTTCTTGGGTTCTTTCAGCCTTGCCCGTGGCATTTGAAAGAGTAAATCACGTAGACAAATAAGACAAGACAGAGATTGGTTTCCGTATAAAATCTGTTATTTTCTCTGAGGCATTTCTAAATGAGTAAATGTATTAATATAATTAAATTATTATTTCCATTATATCGAAAAGCCATAAATCATTTGTAATTACTGAATTTTATTTCAAAAATAAACCAAACCTTTTTAATATAAATTTGTGTGCTGATGGTAAAAAAATAATTAAAACTGAAGGGATTTTTTTAAAGTTAAAATTATAAGTACGCTATAAAAGTAATCGGAAAGACCAAAACCACAAACATCTTAAAAATAAATCGTTAATCGCATTATAGTTAATACAAAAAAATGACATCAATAAATATTTATGTGAGGAATCTGATCCCGCTATTATCAACAAACTTTTGGAAACGTTTGCACTATCATGGGGAAATTGTCTATGGCAAAGATCTGACTCATCTTAATTTGGCACCGGAATTAGTCACACAACCGATTACCAGCATAAATGTTTACTGTTTTATTTATATCTAAGTTTATAATAAAGTGCAAGGAGAACCGGAGCAAATTGCAAACAAAAGCTTGAGCCACCCACCAAAAGTGGTTTGCGAAACATTTGCGCCGTTCACTTTTCTGTGGGCAAACAATTACGAAAGTTTTGCATTAAAAATTAATAGAATGGAAAACTTAATTCCAACTGTTGCACTTGGAGCCACAAAGCGCCAATTGTTGGGGCCATAAAGGAGATCCTTGAGTGGATAGTATGCATAACCTGAGATATATGTACGTTTCACCAACTTGATTTGCCATTACTGGCCCGAAGGTCTATTTGCTTAACTTTTTGGGCAGCGATAAAAGTGAGTTTAAGTGTCTCAAATGTGGCCAAGATATGGAGGGAAGGTCTCTGTATCTCCGGGTTTATCGACTATGTACACACCCCGCCGAGATAACGGGGCAATGTCAAAATAGCTGATAGTCGAAAAGAGTTTTATTATGTATCACGATTATCACGGGAAAGGAAGGAGAAACGTGAGCTTCGATTTTGTTTCCTCCGCAACAGGTATTGTAAAAAAACCAAATACTTCAAAATTTCATGCGTTCAACAAGGTGAAAACATGCCACCAAATAATACTTAAACTAAAACGACACCAGACAATAAACAGGCCCCTTTGAAGATCTCACTTTTTGTTCACAGAACGTGACAAAAAGACAGACGAATATAATAATGGAAAACCAGTTTGTAGAAAGAAAGACCCACCGAATGAATCATAGACCAGCAGATAATAAAAAAGTGCTCAACTTAAAAAGAAGTCACAAATGGCCAAAAGGCGAAATTGATATGCACGGGGCGTCGAGTGAAACGGTTAAAAAAAGCTTTTGGGGGTCGACTGTGCGGAGGGGAAAGCCGTTTATTTTGACTTTTGATGCTGGACTGCCGACTGACAAAATAAATCGCAATGCATAAAATGCTAACTAGGCCAAAGTCACAACAAAAGACGCGAAAATATTGAGCCAAAGACGTCAGCAGGATGGCGCATGCAACGCAGCAGCAGCACAACAAGTCGCCCCACCACCCACTGCCCCGCCCTCCGCCCATATAACTGTGACCCCTAAAAACACGCACAGTCCACTTAATAATAATAAAAGCTCAGACAATAGCTAAAATATGTACTTGCATTACGAAATATTCCCAAACAAATATTCAAATTAGAATAATAAGAACAAATATTTACATTTAAAGAAATAGATCGGTAATGTATTTTGATATTATTAATTTTGTTTTTTTATTTAATAGTAGATAATGAAAATCCTTTTTACCAATATACGTTTGCTATGCTTTTTGATTAACCTTTAAAACGGAATACCAGTTAGAATTATGTTTCTTATTGGGATGTTTACTGGACTTTAATGAACATTTTAGAAGGCTTATTTTGTAAGAAATTTTTATTTTCAGTGTCTAACCAGACAAAGCTTTCAGTCAAATGGCTAATTACCTGGGCTCTCAGTGCTATTATCTCAACCGCAGGTGTATGAATATATTTTGAAAATAGAAAATGTTAAAATGCAGCACGCACACAAATGCAGTGGTGAAAGGGGGGGAAGGGGGTACCGGAAACAAGCCGAACATATAGAACGTGGTAGGGGCAACATGGAAACTAGGTCAACTCTCGACGCCATTGGAGCAGGCGAGTGTCCGACCGAGAGCGACGACAATGACGCCCGTCACACCCAGGCGCAACTAGCTCAAGGCCAAATCCGCACTGCAGCGGGGGGCTGGGCTGGGTGGGCGGTGAGTCCTTCAACCTTTCAGAGGGGGTGGGTCCCTATTTTAGCCCGTCCTTGGGCGGGAGGGTGGTATCCAATCTCGAGATATATCACTTACCCGCTGCGAAATGCAACGGCGTGGACTTGCGTCCCGCCGTATCCCTGGCATTTACGGTCTGCGGCGTTATTAGCTTCTTCACTTTGGCGATCTCGCCCGTTTTGCAGGCCTCGAAGAGCTCCCGCAGCGGATCGTTGGCCATGACCGCATCGAGATTAACACTCAAAATGGCCCTACTTCGACTGTTGTTGGCCATCGTTGTGGTTTTTGTTTTTTACGCTTTGGCACACACACGCCCCAAAAAAAAGCGCAGATTCAGTGGGTTGCTCTCCTCCAATCCTAAGCAATCCTCCTGTTTTTCGCTCCCTGGTCTGCCCGCATCCTGTGTCCAGGTGTCCTGTGCCGCAGGAGCAACAATTTGCCACTGACTGCCACGCGACCAGCCCACTATTTGCGCTTAATATTTAATGCACAAAATTGCAGGCCCCAAAATCAATAGGATTTCCTTGCTCCGTCACTGTTTGATTATAAAGTTCACGGCTGTTTTATTTCGGTTTCGACTGGGATTTGGATTAACTCGGGGACTAACTCTCTGGTGTTTGGCCTCCAGAGCAATGGGCACGAGCGATTATTTTACAATTATTTCACTCCTCCGCGAAACGAAATCTTGCATTGTTTTGTGACGGAATCAGAGTGACCGTACGCGGGGATGGCGAATATTCCGTGGCAATGCTCTACAGTGTAACCGATCAGCGGTGTTCAAAAATACTAGAAAGAAACCAATAAATTTAAGCTTTTTGCTTAATATAATATAATATAAAATATACAATATAAAACTAAATAAAAACACATGATATCACTTCAATTTAAACTTACTTAACTTCTTAAATATTTGAAGACCTTTCTTTTGTACCATTAATTGACTTTTCATATTTTCCAAAACATGTGTTTAAAAAACCAGTGCTTTAAGCAGAATTTAATTTTTTATAGTTAAATATAACTACTCAGTTTAAATATGGTTTACCCCTTTCCGTAAAAGGTATATTAATACAAAAACCTAACTAATTTATTATATTATTTTTATGGAGTTAGTAAAGTCATTTGTTATTCTACAGAATAAAAAAATTATAAAAATTCATAGAATGGGTCTATCTATATGGGTCGGAAAAATACTTTAAAAATTGTTCATTTTATAATATACAAACATTTTAAATTTTTGTAGCATACAATTTAGAAGTATTGTAAATTTGTCAAACATGTTCCAGTCGATTTTACTTTCAAATCCTTTTAAAAAAAAGTATTTAAAGTCTGCAGACACATTTAGACAAACAAATTAAAATTTTTTTTTTACATAATTATATTTAATAGTTTTTTGTTTTAGTCTGACTTCAATATATAACTTTGTACTCCCAAAAATAAATTTTATACACAACAAAAAGAAACAGGAGCACGAATTAATTTTACTTTCAAATCCTTTTTATAAATTAATTTAAAGTCTGCAGACACATTTAGAGACAAACATTTAAACTTTTCTTTAAAATAATTTTATACAATTTGTATAGCCAATACTTATATAACTTTGTATCCCCCAAAATACATTTTGTACAAAACTTTTTTTATTTTAAATTTATATAAAATAATATTTTTAAAATAAAAAATTATGTGTATATTTTATTTCAGTTCAAGAAATTTTCCAATTAGCCTTGTTATCGATAAAATACGAATCCACCTGTCTGGCCATCCCTGGTATGCTATCGATTTTGGCATCGAGTACAAGTGCAAGCCAACAACAATGTTTATTTTTTGCTTTTATTCGTTGGAAAATTCGTAAAATTCGAAATAAGGGCTGTGCTTATTAACGAGATAAGATATATATATGTATTAACAAGAATAAAGTGAAGTGAATAATAACGAAGCTCCAGCGCCGAAAGCACGAAAGTAAACAGAAAATCGGAAATCAAAAAAGTGAATCAGAATTTTTCCAGCGTACACACACAGGGGCAGGTCTAGCACACACACAGACACGACACTCGTACGGAACCAGTTGTGTTGTTGTAAATAAGTGCAAGTGAAGAAGAAGCAGAAGCTGCGATCGGAAAATTAAGTAAAATCGTGGAAAAAACGGGGCGGAAAAAGCGAGGAAAGTAGAAGAGGCGGAGTGCACTTAACACGCTTCGCTGGCTGCGCGACAGCAGAACGCCAGTCAAGCGCCAAAAACCATTAGCGTAGAACCCCATTTCCAGCTGGAGCGGCACAAGAAAGCAATTTTCTGGTAGCAGAAACACCAAGAAACGGAAATAATTGGACGATTTTTAGAAAGACAAAGATAATTAGCCGGAATGGAGCTGAAAGTTTGGGTCGAGGGCATTCAGCGGATTGTTTGCGGCGTTACAGTGAGCACCACTTGTCAGGTATTTGACTACATCGACTATATATTATTGATTTTTCCCTAATTATTCTTTTAATTCCCATAGGATGTGGTCTTTGCTTTGGCCCATGCCACCGGAAAAGTGGGAAGATTTACATTAATCGAAAGGTGGCGCAATAATGAACGCCATTTGGCCCCCAACGAGAATCCCATGAAGCTGCTGCTCAAATGGGGGGAATATGCAAATGATGTGCAGTTTATATTACAACGATCCGAGAACAAAACCCAGCAGCAGCAGCAGCAACAACAACAACAGAACAACAATAACAACAACTTTGCTGTGATGACAACGAAAAAGCCGCTGGGCCCAAATAATAATAATAATAACAATAAGCCAGCGCCCACATTACAAAAGCAAAAGTCGAACGTCGAACTCAGCTACCGCACTAAGGAATTGAAAAAGAGTTTTGGGTGTGTGATTCTCATATATATTTTCTAAATCGCTTAGCTAACTTTTATTGTTTTATGTCGAACCTTCTTTAATATTAATTACCTTAAGACCAAAAGTCGAAGCCTTCAAAAGCAATTTTTTTTTCTTTCTTCAACCTATGAACGATAAATTAAAAACAAATAAAAATTCTATTTCTATTTTTTTCAGGGGCTACGATGCCAAGCAGTTTGACAACATTGGAATAGTCAAAGGGATCCCCCAGCAGCAGCAGCAACAACAGCAGTTGCACTCCCAATCACCGACTTCAGGAGCTCCGATGAGTCCCCCAGTTGTTCTCCAGGAGCAGCTGCCACCGCAGGATAACAACAATGTAACGCCGCTAGTCCCAAAACATGAGAAATCGCTATCGAATCCTCTGGACATGAGCAGCACGGGTGGCACTCCACCTGTGGCCGGTGGAGCAAATGGCTACAACGACTTCTACAACAATAATAGCAGCAGTAATCAGCATATCTACAGCCAGCTGAGCAAATCCAGCAATGAACTCCGACGCTCCAGCCCCAACGAGATGTACTACAACAACAATAATAATATCAGTAACAATAATAACTCCCCGGAGCTCTATAAACAAACACCGACGATTTCCGCGAATGGTGCCTTAGTGCCACCACCATATCGTGACCCGCCGCCACCTAGGAACAGTCCTATGTGCCAGGGCCAGCGTTTGGTCAGCAGCAATGCGGACACTATGTCAAATGCCTCCTCCTCGACGAATCCGTTCCTCAGTGACTACGAACAGCACAGCAACCACAATAACAACAGCATTAATAATAATAGCCAGGCTATGGAGGAGGGCGAGACAATGTTCCATGCCACGCAATACACCGATCTGCTGCAGATCATCAAGTTTCAGCGGGAGAAACTCACAGCCCAGCAAATGGAATTGCAAAAGGTAGAATATACACATAATCTATAATAATTTGGTATGATTGAGGCATTCTGTTTATTTCTAGTTCGACACGGAAATAGTTTATTTAGAAAGTAAGGAACGCGATCACGCCCACGAATTGGAGGCCATATCGCGTGAGATCTCCAAAGCAGATCAAATATTTCGGCAAGGCAGCGAACAGCTACAGACTTTGCAGTATGTGGAGGAGGAGAACGAACTGGTCAAGCAGCAGGAGAAGACATTGAAGTCTGAGATTGCTCTGCTGCGCTCCAAGTTGGCTAACTGCGAGACAGAGCTGCTGCAATGCAAGAATAAAATGCGTTTGCTCATGGACGACATTGAGCTGGAGCAACAGCAGCAGCAGCAGACCAATAGGTGGGTTAACATATATATCTTTATTTTACTTAGTTTGTTTAACACTTTATTGTTTTAGGCAAACTGTGGAGCGTGACTTCTTAATGGAAATGGAGCGGATACAGAGCGAAATTGACCAGGCCCTGCACAATACTGACACTTCAAACAAGACAGCAGATAGTTTGAAAAAGGAGTTGTTGATGATTGAGCATGCCATCGCCGAGAAAAAGCGACAGGTGGAACAGTTGGTCAACGAGATGAAGGAGGTGAATTTGCAGAGTCTGACGGTGACCACCACGGAGGAGATCAAGCATTTGTTGGAGGGACCCAACAAGCAGGGAAGCAGTCGGCGGATTATTGGGTCGCCCAGGCAACTGGAAACTGCTGTTCCGACCAGTAAAAATCCTCACGGCGTCTGGGTTTAAGTCACACCGGCATCGAAACTATTTTTCTAAACATATTCCTCCTCCAACAAATGATGTTTTTGGGAACAAAATTGAAAAACATATCTTGAATGCATAATGGAGTTGACACAAAACGGATTCCAATATGAATATCACAATTTTACACAATATTCTCTACAAATTTACAATGATCAACACGTTTGATCACGGTTTTAGTATGCTAACATTCCAACCACTCTCTATGGATCTCTATAAGCAATGATATATGTTACAATTTGGGAAACGCAGCCCACTAATGTCTCCACATTCTGCACTGTACTTTGCATTTTAATGTAGGAAAGGAGTCCAAATCCACATACCCCTAATTTTAATTTTGTGTGCTATACTTCTGTTTAATTTTTGTTGCTAGTCTACGTGTTAACAAAAGCCCTTTCCAATCTCTACAATTCGCCATTAGTTGTTAATTTAACAATGAACTTTAATTGTTGCAATAATTCGAATGTAACGAAACTTAAAACGCCTTTTTACCATTTAAGTAGTGCACTTAGTGATTTGTCTCCCACAGAATGATTCTTTATAGAATTCACAGTTCGAATTACACAAAACTTATTGTACTTAGCAATTAGCGCAGCTTTAACAAGAAATTACAAATTAGCAATGCTTTGTTAAAAAGTTTCACTTATAAAGTGCTTAGCCTTAGCCACCGGATATCGAATCATAAGATCGAAGCATTAATAATTGCAAGTGTCACGCATTCGTATTTGATGCTTATTTTGTAGGGTTAAATGCATACAACTAAAAAACAACTCATAAGTCGCTTCTGTGTATTATGTTTTTAATTAGCAATATTTAATATTATATATTTACACAAATTGATAGTGAACCACAAAAACACCAACCGAAATGCAATTTATTAAATAATATACAGTACTATTAACTTTAAACTAAAACGGTTTTAGAACAAATTTTAATTTCATTATTTCTAATTAGCTAATAAATACATTTTTATGATTTTTTTCTTTAAAACTCAAATCAGATATTTCGTATTTACTGTTGGGGTATTGGAAAACCACCTTAATAAGTTTAAATCTTAAATAATAGTGGGGAGTTTCAAAATATAAAAACAATAAGATATATATAAGGTGTTAAGTTAGCTCAGACTTAAATTTAGAAAAGAAATTAAAATACAGCAATCCCTTCAAAAAATTAGTATCGATTACCAGAACTCAGTTGCTTTTTATTTGAGAATTAAGGAACCTATTTGAAATAGTCTCCAAAATATTATTTTCGATATTTGAATCTCTAGAAGATTCAAGGGTTATAAACTTGTTATTCACCAAACCAAATTTGACTTAAATAAAATATTTAAATTAAAAATGTAGAATAGAAATAGAATGAGCCCGCGACCCTTGTGAGTAGTGAAAAGCGCCCGGAAAGGAAAGAAAACCGCAGCAGCTCAACTCAATGGTCAGCCGAAGTCCTGTAGGAACCCGAAGTTGCTCTGCTACTGCGCTGCCGGTTTTCCTCGGCCGCTTTTCTTCTGCGGAGGAAAACAAAATCAGCAACACACGTTGTCACCAGCTTCAGTTGGCCGCTGTGCGTGGACGCGTTTGGTCCTTTCATCCTTTCCGGTTTTCGTTTCTCCAAAAAACACTTTCTCTGGAGAAGCGCGCGCGACTTTCGTTTTTCAAAAAGTGTTGCCCACTTAAGGGGACAGTGAAAGTAGCCCCAAACAAATAAAGAGGCGACGGAACACACATTTGAATGGTCTGTTTTGGGGGCATCCTATCGTCCTATCGCATTGACACAATCTACAAAGTGGTCGAGGGAGCATTAAGTGGCCCGGCAGCAAAAAGGAACGAAACCGCTCCGTTTTTATGGCCCTTTTCCACACCAAATGCTGTTCAATTGCGATGATTGCGATAATGAGAGTCCCTGTTTCAGTTTAGGGATCATGCATCGCAGAGACAATGTGACCTTTTGCGGAAATTATGATTTGTCTCCTGCTGACCTTGAGGCCTCTCGGGTGGGCTACCCCGGCCCATTAAGTGAAATTTAATCAGCCAGCGATGAAATGTCGCAGAAAAGGGCCCACTAATGCCGGTCACATATTGCACTTCCATTTCGTAGTACATTTGGCAACTTTATAACCTTGAGTTTGGCCTAATGCCTTGCATAAATTAGGAAATAAAAGTTGCTACTTAAAAATAGAACCATATGACTGGAGCCAAATGATTTTTGCCATTGCTTGCAAAGAAATCATTCTTTTTGATTGTTTACTCTCAGCGGGGGAAATAAATTTGGCCAAGTTTTATGTCTTTCTCACCACTTAGTTTTGCTGATTTTTTCTTAAAGGGACAATATTTTCCCGATAAGTTATTATTTAATGCTGAATGCTTAAACAAGCAATATCTAAAAAATATGTTTATATAATCAATTCATTTTGATTGAACGAGTGTTCAGCAAAAGTGAAAAAATTATGCCTTAGTGTTCTGGACAAAAGGTTGCTAAAAAAAAATTTTAAAAATATTTTTATGGTTGATTTCAACATGTTCAGGTTTTTTTCACTAAAAATATACATTTTCATTGAGAAAATCACCTAAAATCTATGGGTAACTTTAATCTGTCTGTGAAACTTAAGCTCGTCGTCTATCAAAATAGCATTTTATGCATATTTTTTATGGACATCAAATCAATTTTATCCAACGCTGAAATCGAAACCCCACCAAGTGGAAAGCACTTGCCATTCAAAATATTAATTTTGAACTCCCGCCCCGTCGCCCTCCTTCCGCTCCATCTGCTGTATAATCCTGGCACTTAAAACTCTTCTCGACGCGCTGCGAACATTAGCCAAATGAAGTGACAAGAAATTAACGAAAAAAAGAGGGAACGATATAAGAAATAATAACACAAAAACTCAATGAGTCAGCACCGCATTGGTGTTGTGGGGGCGTGACCGGAGTGGGAATTGAGTGCTCCTAATGATGAACTCGGTCAAGGAGCCAGTGCAGCCACGCTGGCCAAGTAATTAGATAAGCGAGCTTGGGAAACAGGACCAAACCGATAAATCGCAATGGTCTACGGGAGGAGCATCGCCGTGGGCGTCGTTCTGATGACCGTCGTCTTGCTGCTGGCCGCCGGAATATTTTACCTAAGTCTGGGTAAGTAATCCGCAGTTTAATTTCAGTAACTTGCGCACTTATAAATCAATTCAGTATAAAAATATTTAAAATTTTAGAGCATGCTTGTAGCAATTACGTTACATTTTGCGTAACTTTAATGAAAATGTCCATTCAAGATAATGTTATATACACGTTTATCGAAACTCGAAGGATGCCATACACAAACCATTTTGTTTTGAGGAGGTAGTCCCCTTCAGGAAATGGCAAAACCTTAGTTACTTGGCTATTAAGAAAGTCGGTAGTAAGTTTATCCACAATAATGTCGTGCTGCGAAAAATCAATATTAAATATTGGTTTAAATTATTATTATTGGTTAATAAAAATTAATTAATTTACTCACATCGTAAGGACAACTATGATTCATATTGGAGTGACTACCAAATAAACTATAAAGATAATTTGCGACAGGATAGGATTTTTTATGCTTTAAAAATTTACAGCCATCTACAGTAACATTGTAGAGGAAGGGCTTATAGCCACTCATTCGCTTGAATACTGCCAGGTTGACCTGGAAGAACAACCTGTTAATGAGCACATATGTGCTATATAATACATATGTTTTATATACTCACTGTGGCATCGTTGATGGGTGTCTTATAAAGTTTTGTCTTCATGGAAGCATATTTATAACTCCTATTCACAGATTTCAAATAGCAGTACTCAACTTCTGCGAATTCAAGGTCGTGGGAAATACATTTAATGTTGGTAAACTCCACTCTAGAGACGATCTAAGAAATGGATAAATATTGCATGAAAAATTGAGCTTTGCAAAAAAATTTTTTTTTAATTACCTCCGAAAGAAAACAAATGATCAAAATGATCGGCACAGCTTGTACGTTTTCAAATCTCATCGCGAATGACAAAAAAACAAGCCGGAAAACAGAAGAGATGTAAAATCAGTAGACTGTGGAAAACTATTAGTATTTAATCAAACTCAAACTATTTTATAAAAAAACATAATTGTGTTGCCTGAATAATTGCGACCTAATCATGGTCCACATCGGCACTAAATGATCGGGTGAATATGGCTACTATTTGGTAAAAAAATTCCAAATTTATTGATCCGTAAAAAAGTATTAATAAAGTATTTGCTTCGGGGCCAATAGCTTGATCATTGACATTGTTTGATTTTAAAGTAATATACCTTATGCCGAACACTCAGTTAGCAATACTTGCTTTAAAGTGATATAATTATCGCATCCACCAACAATTTATGCTGGCAGAAGGGGTTTCTTTTGGGCCAAACAAAAACCGAAATCAAATTCCAAACTGCAAAATGGCCATAAATTTTATAATCAAAAGTATTTGAAAGTAATTTGTTGTATAATACGATAAAAATAAGACAACAAAAAACGGGGCGGAAAAAGAAGAAACGGCTGACCATAAAAAAAATAAATACGAGTACGGCGCAAACTTTGTCTTGAGCACAAAACAATTTTCGCACATCCATAGACAAGTATACGTATATACATATAGAAGGCCATGGTCCTGGCTGTTTTGGTTCCTCTTTCGAAGCTTTTATCTTGTTTTACGAGTATCAATATCGAGAAATTTGCGCCGCTTTTTGCTGCCTCAATATTATATTTTTTATGCCAATTTGCGTATTGATTTGCCATACGAACAGGCAAAACATGTTTGATTTATGCCATTTTCCCGCCTCGGATTCCAAGTACATGCATCGCGAGAAATTATCCATCTGCCAGAGAGCATTTGTCCGGCTTAGGTTTAAATCAGAAATAGAAAAGGAGATTTAAGGAGGGAAAAATGAGAAGAATAACGGACGAGCCAGGACATGTGTAAACATATGTCCTTGTCGTGCACACAATGAAATTGAAAGTCTCGCCTAATGCACAATGCCTTAGTGTGTGTACAATTCCTTCCTAATGAATCTAGATATTTAATCTTTAAGGAAGCGACAAAATAAAATATATTTATGCAGCTTCATTAATGATTTTAAAGAGAATGCTAAACGATGTGTTTATCATCTTCCATTCTGGTAGTTTGTATTGACTTCCTTTTGATTAATTTATATCAATGCTCTTGCTTTTACTGAATGAAAGAATATATGTTTAAGATGAAACACTTTTTGGAAGAAATTAGAAAACAACACACACAAATATCCTCTGACGCAATTTCTTCAATTGGATTAAAAGCTGCTCAAGGTGCTCCAGTTTCACTTTTATTTGCTCATTTGTCTAATGAACTATGTTCCATAATCTCGTAATTTGAATTGCTGAATTTTCGGTCTGCATTGGTGGCACCCAAACAAATCATAAAAATGATAAAATGCAAAACAAAAATGTCATCTCTTTTTACGACAATTACCCAAAAAGTTATAGGCATTCGGGCAGAAAAAGTCTCAGGATAAATTAAATCTAAGAATATGAAAAGTAAGTTATTTCGAACATCAATTGTTTGTGGTCAGTTCAACTTTTGAAATTAAATTAGCTTCAATGGCATATTAATAAATTTTAAGCCACCATTTCGATTCATGTACTTGATTTCAATGCTTGAAAAAACATATTGTTAACAAAGCAAACCTCTCAAAAGTGAATGAAAAGACAGGCCAAACTTTTTTGCACATTAAGTTTAATTGCCATGTCTTGACAAAAGGGCAAACAATGAACTGAAATACTTTGTTCAACAGAGGCGATGAGATGAAGATGGGAACGCACAAAATAAGTTGTCATCTTGTTTTAAAATTTAAAGTTTGTCTGCAAGCGATTAAGATAATTACTCATACGTAGCGTTGCCATTTGTGAATGTTAATTTTATTTGATAAGCCTCTGAAAAAAAACATTCATACGTTAATAAACTTGTAATTAAATATGTCAGACACACACATCTGTAATGAACATATTACACGGGCTCGATGCCAAAACCACCTTTATAAATTTCGATTTAATTTTATCTCAGAAAAGATATGTTTGTCTTGACGCAAACTAAAAAAGTTTAAAATTTTTTTGGAGCAGTGTTCCTATGACATCAATCTAGATTTGAAATAATGATATCTCGGGTTCGACGAAAAAGTCGTAGTAAAATAGTTGCGCTAAAACCACAGCTAATGCCTTATTTTCCGCTGTCCTTGGGCGATAATTAATTTGGCTTCTGGTTGATGTGTTGTCCGTTTCGCAGGACCCTGCCCCACGGGCAGCTTCGCCTGCGACAACGGCACGCTGTGCGTTCCAAGGCGCCAAATCTGCGACAGTCGGCCCGACTGCGCCGACAGCAGCGACGAACATCCTGTGGAATGCGGACTCCTCTATGGAAGCAAGGAGATTGCCGACAAGATTGTGCGTAACGCGATTGAAAAGAAGCAACAGCGCCTAATCTCCTCCGTCTCGAATGCAAGCGGCGTGGATTTACCAGCGCCGGCGGCGCCACGAAATCAGAGCCTAACTTTAAACATGACTTGTGGTGAGTGGATGAATTAATTATGCTTGGAAAATGGCTGTATTTAATAAAAAATCAATCGGAAAGATTGTTACATTTTTTAATCAACTATATTTCTTTTAATAACTTAGATATCGTCACATATCCGAAAAGCTGTCAGTGTGGCATGAAAACTATTTTATTCTGCGGTCGCTATGCGAAGTTGCGACGATTTCCTCGGACCAGTTCGGAGGTTACCAATCTGATCATTATTCGCAACAACCTGACCTTGAGAGACAATATCTTTGTAAATTTGACGGGTCTGCGAAAGCTGTAAGTAAAATTGTATTTTTAGTATATTCTTACTGATTAGCTCGAGTAATTTCAAATATTAGTTAAAATATATATAATATAAAAAAAATAATGACCTAATAAACACTTAATAAAATATTGTGTACTGCAACTCACCCGAAATTACTTTCCTTCCACAGGACGCTTAAGTACAACAACATATCACATGTCCCGCTGAACAGCTTCACTGGGTTGGTTCAACTGGAGCGCCTGGAATTGAGCCACAACAACATCAGCCACTTGCCACAGGGAACTTTCATCGGATTGCAAAGCCTCCAGTGGTTGTTCCTGGTGAACAACCACCTGCACCAACTGCCCATGGAGCAGTTGCGACTCAACCGCAGGTTGGAGTGGTTGGTCCTGAGTAGGAATCGCCTCACCCTGCGGAATGTGCAGATGCCGAAAATCCCGTCGCTCTACGAAGTGTGAGTAAATCCAATTGGGTTGGCTATAGGGCTGCTCTTCTATTTGCTAGATTAAAAACTGAAAAGAAATCGGGTCTGTCTCTGCACATCCAGCTCCGCTGATGTATTCAAGCGTAAAATGCTGTTAAAAGCGGATGGTGCACCCCGCTCATTGGGTTACTCGGGTATTGGGTGTCCTGCTGGATTGCTCGTCCTTACCGTTGGGAACTGTTGGGTGATTTCGTTAAGGACTGGCACAACGTTGTCAACGTGGTTGCACTCACTTAGTTCTCAAAGTATCCGTTTGATGTCCTTTACTGGTGTTTACTCAAGTTTTGAAGTTCACGCTTTAAAGTTGCAAGCTAAAGACTTAAAGTTTATTGCTTAACAAATAAATGATGCATTTATACAGCTTTCTATTTAGATTTGCTTATTTAAATTAAGGCTACTTAAAATAGGTCATTAATAATTTAAAGTATCTATTAAAAGAATTTCTAAATTTCATAGAACTTATTTGGACTTAAAAGTAAATTTCCAATCTCTTTAAGTTTCCGAACTTGAAAGATTTTATCTCAACCTTATGGCCAAGATTAGTGGCCCTGCATCAACTCTGTTTATCTTACATTTGCCCAAGAATCATTCCTCACTTGTCCACACAAGCACACACGAAAAGCTTAAGGCTGACTTAGAACACTACCCCAAAAATATATAAACAAAACTAGGCCCACAGCTTAGCCAGATTGTTGGATGCCTGCATAAATATCTCTTTACTTTTACAGTTATTTGGATTTCAATCGAATCGAATACATTGGCAAGGAAACTTTTTCCCAATTGGATAATTTACATTTGCTGTAAGTAAAACAATCAACTTTTCCCCCAAAAAAAAAGTGGAAGAAGAAGCCAGCAAGTGTCGAAAAGTCTATTGAAATATGTTGTACTTAGATTTTATGGGGCGTATGCGTAATTTTTACTCTTCGTTGCATTTTGCTTTCGTTTTCGCTGGGTTTTTTTTTGTACTTGTATTCTTTGAGAGATTTATGTGGGTTACTTTGTTGCTGAGACAGTGAAAAACAGAGATGGAGCATTGCGTATACGCACTGTTGACATGACACTGAGGTGGATATTCGATACTTCGACACCTTTTTACTGGCAATCCAAAAACAATGGAATTTATGCACCAATAACCATAAATTGGCACGTTTATTGTTTACGCAAGTTACATATGCTAAACAAATATTTAAAAGACGAGTGACATGGAATAACAAGGCAGCGGAAATTACAATGAGAGTCGAAGATGCGAATACCCTTGGAATACATTAGAATTCGAAATTTTAATATTAGTTTAACTTAATTTCAAGGTAAATTTGATCGATTTTATTATTTAATTTTTATTTGAAATATTATTTTAAATTTTGTTATGAAAGAGTAAAGAAGTGTTCTTTGCGCTGCAGACACCTAAAACAATTTGGAAGCATTTATCAGGGACCCCCTTTGCCTTCGAAATCTCCGACTGGCGGAGCATACATAATCATTAATTTATGCATCAATAGCTGACAATATAAGTCAATGGGTCGTCTGGGTGCCCGACGCCTCGCTGCTAACTGAAAATAAATCAGTTACCCAAATTGCCCAACGTAAATAAATGTGTTAACCTTTACATTGGAAACGAATGGGAGCGATGAGATTTGGAATGGATAAATTGTGTCGCAATATTTGTGCCCATCACCTCCTCATATGTGTAAGCAATTTAACTGGTGATTTGAAGCATATGGGAGTTAAAAGAAAAGCGAAAAAGTAGACTAGTTTACCGACAATAAGACTAAGTAGATTAAATAGATTTCAAAATTGGAATTAAATTAAGTAAATAATAAAACATAATTTAAGGGGACAGAATGGAAATAATATATTTATATTTTCACAGGGATCTTCAGCATAACCTCATCACTCACATCCATGGCCAAGCCTTTGCGAGTCTAACCAATATGCGAGATATGTGAGTATAGCAAAGGGACGGGATTGAATTTTATTGTGAATTTCTGAAAGTTTAACACCGACACTAAGCATGAGTTATGGCGACACCAAGCTAATTAGCATAATAATACGAATAATGTCGGGACACAAGTAAATGAACTCGAGCTCTGGTCAAAGAATCAGCGCACAAAGCCGCAGGAATGTCCCTATAGTAAATCGTAATTTGGCAAAGGATTTACAGCAGCCCAACCCCTCTAATTCCCTGCCCTCAACTGAACATTTGCTTTGTGATTCAAAATCATATTCAATGATACTAATTTTAGTTCATTAATGCGCAATTAAGTATACGGAATGTCCTCTGTTCATGAAAAATTAAATTTGGAAACTTTTATGCCCGCAGACAGATAAATAATAACAAGGGAAAGAAAGTTGTCTGGGATATTTAACCAGAAGATGCTCTTCTATCCGATGAATTTGATTTTGAGACTTAGTAAAATTGCCTTCAATTGCAACGATATAAATATTTTTATGAACTTGACCGCGCCCTCGCTATAAAAAAGTTTACCCCCTTGGGCCAACTAATCTAACCTTTATAGTCATAGTTTATTATAATGCAAGTTATGGCCAACTCAAAAGAATGTGGGCAAATCTATAAACGGCAGTCGTAAAAAGGAAAACAAATTGTTTACCGCTTTGAGGAAGGAATTTGATGAGCCTCAGACAACATGGCGTATGCTTAATATTTAATAGTGAAAACCACTGAGAGCTTTAAGCATGTAGCATGGCTTGTAAATAAGTTCAGCAAGAGCTGTGTGTGGCTGAAATAAGAATTGGATGATGCTTTCTGGCTTTCATAACCATATATCAATGGCGTATTCAATAAATGTCTCCGCCAACTCTGCATCCATCGTCTAGCATCAAGCTGTGGCCTTAATAAATTTACCAAACCCATCCAGCTTTTATGTATGTTTACATACATCAGCATATCAAGGATGATAACGAAGAAGCCACAGTGTTTGACCAGATTGGTTCTTATACAAACATATAGCTAACAGAATTTCGGCACTGGAATTTTTGTATCTTTTGGGACTTTGACTTCTGACCGCCACAGCCAGAGCAACAAATAAACAAACATTATTATGGCCAAATAAAAATGCAAATAAATTTGTATTTTATGTGAAAACAATTTCGCCAAAGCCTTGGCAAAAGTAAGTGTAACCAACTCCGGGCCACGTTGTGGACCAATAATGAAGGAGTTTATTGAAATCGACTCGGGGCGGTATTCCCCAATCGTCATTGCTTCATTAGATGCTGCCACTCCCCCAATCTAGTTGCGAATCCTTTACGCCTGTTGATGACACCTCCAACCATCTCCCAGTAACCTTCCCGTCCTCCTATGCAAATAACTTGCCCTTTGCTGGCGTGCAAGGAATTTCTCAGCATTCGGCGCAGCTCGTATGCCAAGTGTAAGACTTTTATGGCCACACAGAACGAAAACAATGATCTTGAAAGTCGATCGATTCGGCATCAATCAATTTTGATGTTTCGATAGAAATCCCTTTAAGTTCAACAACAGAAAATAATGTGATTCGATAACATTGAGGAAAGAAACTTTAAATTCTTCACTGCTTTATTAACTACCAGTGTACGTACTTTAAGATGTATTGACGTTGAAAAAGTTAGTTCTCAGATTGCATTTCTCATTATATTTAAACCAGTTGAAATAGTTTTTTTTTGTGCACCCAGCAAAGAAATTGCAAAAAATTCCTTTGGCGAGCGTATCTGTGTCCGTGTATTTGTATCTATCAGATACGCATCTAAATGCTGCTCATGTATCTGTCTTCCTCCAGCAATTTCTGCTGATTTGTTTTGTCTTCGGTATTCCCTAGGGTTCAAGGGTGGGGACGTGGCCATAAAACAAACGAAAACAAAAATATTTGAGAAATCGCTGCACTAATTTGATTCCTGCTGTCCACCACTGAGCCACTGGACAGGTCATTACAGAGATTTTTGGAAAGTCCATCGGCTTTAAAGACCTTCAAGTCCCGCTTTGTCCGTTAGACATGGCCGTGACGTTAATTATGGTCAATATAATCCCCGCTCCGCATCCGTTGGACAAGTGAACAGTGCAACAAATGCCACAGTACCTCCACGAAGCACATTGCCCCAAAAGAATCCACAACTGAAACGTGCCATTTGCAGGGAGGGCGTAAATAGCTTCATTTGGTTAATATGAACTCACAGTTGAATGGGGTATACTGAATAGGTTGAGAGATAAATTAGCGTTAAGGATAATTAAGATTGACAAAACTTCGTTATATGCCTTGCAGCTATACAAAATTTTTCCTGTGTAACGTTTTGCGAGGAAATTAAACTTATTCATATCACTTTTGACAGTGATTTTATCACATTACTACATTCTAATAGACAAATTAGCTGTTACCACTTTTATAATAGATTAAAATGCAATTATTTGTGTTAAGATTTAAGGGAATAATACAAATTATATTTTATGGCCCATATTTTTTATTTCCGTTTTATAGTTTTTGGTTTTTGGTTTTATAGAAGCGAAAACAAAAACACTCTGCCCACAAATTCAAGTCGCTGATTTGATTTCCTATCCCAGGATTTTATAGAGCATTCAACGAACTGTGTTGTTTGTGAAATTTCTTCGCCATGGTTTTTCGCTCCTTGCACGTAGCGCACAAACTCAACTGTAGGCATTTATTTGCCATTTTCTTAAATGCGCATTGACCGCCAACCCGCCCTCCATCGTTTACTCAGCCCTTTTGATTCTGACGCATTTGCGATGCCCACTTTTGTGCTCCGGAATGGCCACGTGTGTGTGGACAGGAGGATGTGCTCGGCCATGAACAATGGGCATTACTGGGGGCTTATTTGGAGGCTCACCGCCGGGCAACAGCAACTTGTTGCCCTTCAGGAGAAGAGAAATATGTTAATTGTGCTCGTGTGTCGTCTGGTTTGGCCGGATATTTATGAAGTTATTAAGTGCGGACTTTCGGGGCCTCTCGAACCGCTGACAAAATCATGATGCCAGTCGATCCGAGAGGCCTGCCCCTCAATAATTAATTAGAAATTTACATAATAAAAATTATTCGGGCGACGAGCAGGGACCCATTTTTTCGACGGCTCAATTTGTGGCCGAGTTAAATATTTAGTTTAAGCTTTTCCCGGCCGCGGCAACGTAAAATAACGCTGCAACTTTATAGCCAGCGAGCAATTACCAGCAATCTGTGGTAGCTCCTGGTGGGCGTGGGCGGGGGGCGTGGCCATTGTCTTTGGGCGACAATCCATAAAAACAAACTGTTAACAGTTGGCGCTAGGGCATTGATTGACCAGACAAGTGCAAGCAATGGAGCTCCAACCAAGAGCTCAACGTCAGCTTTCACAACACCATATCCATGAGATTCAGTTCCCTAGATCTCACATCATCTGCTGCATTCCCATGGACGTGACACGGTGGAGCCGAAGCACCCCAATCCCGACCCAAAGGAAATATAGAAGTTATTATCCCCCCAACGCGATAAACATAATAAAGCAGAACAGCTTTTTCCACACAGAGGAAATGTGTAGCGAAAAAATCATTTAATTGGTTGAATTTAATTTTGTCGGTTAAACCACTTCATCTGACTTTTCGGAATCTCTATTTATTTAGTACTAAGCCAAAGAAAAATTGTATGTTTTAATGGCTCACAAAAACTTGAAACTAAATTATTTTACTTAGATTATTTCAAAAGTAAAATTATTACTTATACAAATTATTCTATCATATAATGGAAACAACCTAAGAAAAAAAGCGGGTTCACAGAATTTTAGAGTATGACTTAGCTTAAAAAAGATTTCCTGTTCTTTGCAATGAAAATATGATTTATCTGAATACTTTGACTTTTGTACATATACCTATATGCCCTTTTGGATTGTTTCTCGAACCACTGTGCCGCATCCTGTCTGCCATGAATGATGCGCCCTTTCCTGCCAACACATTAAGCCCGGCCAGTTGCATCTTTCCCACACATTGATAGACAATGTTTGTGCGCTGATTTATACTCAGCCAGCTATTAAATAAGAATTTTCGTTATTATGCTGCCCAGCAGGATTTTATTATGTGACTTTCAAAAGCTTCAGCCAACTTGTTGTGGCTTTAGCTTAAAGACACACCAAAAAGAAAATTGTTTTTGATAACTTTTAAAGGCGACAAAGTGTGTCGGCCTTATCAGCCCCAAACGCGTAGTCATAATGGGCGGTTCACGCGGCGTATACGTAACATGTTATCTGTATTTAATTCTTAGACGTGCATTTCTTTTTACAGCCGCCTTGTCGGTAATCCCATTAAGGAGTTATCTGGCGAAACATTTCTGCACAACACTCGACTGGAGGCACTGTGAGTATACTTAAATATAATAATAAGGCTTTAAATACAGAAAAAGCTTAAAATACGTCTTTTAAAAAAAAATTTGTCTAAGCTTACTTTATTAAAAAAAATTTAGGTATTCAAAATTAGTATGGACTTACTTATTATAGAGTAAATTTAAATCTACAAAAATATAATATTAAATCTACAAAAATATTATATTAAAATTTTATTTTACACGCTCACCAGATCTCTGGCCCACATGCCCATTCACATCACCCGCAGTCTGGTGGAGCCGCTGAACATTTCGTTCCTGAATCTTACGGGCATTCGCTATGATCACATCGACTTTGGGGCCATCAATGCGATGCGCAATCTCACCTATATTATCTACGATCGATTCTTTTACTGCTCGATGACGCCGCAGGTCAGGATGTGCAAGCCTTCCACCGATGGAATTAGCTCCTTCCAGGATCTCCTGAGCAAACCCGTTCTTCGTTACTCCGCCTGGGTGATGGCCACCCTGACCATAGCTGGGAATGTCCTGGTTCTTTGGGGACGCTTTATCTACCGGGACGAGAACGTGGCTGTGACGATGGTGATCCGAAATCTGGCCTTGGCCGATATGTTGATGGGCTTTTATCTGGTAACCATTGGAGTGCAGGACTACCGCTACCGGAACGAGTATTACAAGTATGTTGGTGATGAATCTGTACCTATAATAAGGACATACTAATTATTACAAAATTGTACCCTACCCTGTAATCTCCAAGGGTTGTGCTGGATTGGATCAGCTCGTGGCAGTGCACGTTAATTGGAACCCTGGCCGTGAGCTCCTCCGAGGTGTCGATGTTAATTCTGGCCTTCATGTCGCTGGAACGCTTCCTATTGATCGCGGATCCCTTCCGTGGCCACCGCAGTATTGGAAGTCGGGTGATGTGGCTGGCTTTGATATGCATCTGGATTACTGGTGTGGGACTGGCGGTGGTTCCAGTCCTTCTTTGGCGGACGAGTACTCTGCCCTACTATGGATCCTATTCTGGCACTTGTTTTCCACTCCACATCCACGAGGCCTTTCCCATGGGCTGGCTTTACTCGGCGTTTGTGTTCCTTGGCGTCAATCTGCTGCTGCTGGTGATGATCGCGATGCTCTACACGGCACTCCTCATCTCGATATGGCGGACGCGGAGTGCCACACCGCTGACTCTCTTGGATTGCGAGTTTGCAGTGAGGTTCTTTTTTATCGTGCTGACCGACTTTCTGTGCTGGGTGCCCATAATAGTTATGAAGATCTGGGTTTTCTTCAACTACAATATCTCCGATGACATATACGCCTGGCTGGTGGTCTTTGTGCTGCCCTTAAACTCGGCGGTAAATCCACTTTTGTACACTTTCACCACGCCCAAGTATCGAAATCAGATATTCCTGCGCGGCTGGAAGAAAATTACTTCTAGGAAGCGAGCCGAGACGGGCAACGGCAACGTTGCGACCACCACGACGGGCACGGCCACCGGATCCTCGCAGCATCCGGATGACTCCACGGCACTGGCTAAGGCCATGCCACTGGCCCTTACGCTATCAAACTAACGCATATTTTTGTGGCGGCGATCAAACTTGTATACCATCAGATTTAGCAGCATTTATTTTGTCTATGATATCGAATATCTGTATATGTGTGTGAATATCTAACCTTATATGTGCAAGTTAACCAAACGAAAGTGTGAAATAAATTGAATGTGATATTTGTAAGAGCATTTCAAAGGTTTTTAGTGGGATAAAAATTTAGGCGAATGTATTGACTTAGCTGAATCTCAATATTAATGCAGAAATTCGGATGCAAAACATTTAAAGCAAAACTAATATTAAATGACAATACATTATACTTTTAACATTCTCTTTACATTCTACTCATACTTTTGGGGATATTTTGTAAGTGTTTTAACACAACCTAAGATATTAATCCTTTTTTTATAACACTTTTTTCAAAACAAACTCTAAACATTCTTTTTAATTAGAACCTTCAGCACTACCCCTTTGGCGATTATTGTCTGTTTGACTGTGCTCTTTGTAAACCTTCGCCATGACCAACTTGGAGCGCACAATGTGAAACTTGCGCATCTCTTCCAGCTCCTCCATCTCCACTCGCTTATTGTGTTTGCGCTCAAGGTGCACTCGCAGTCTAAAACAGGATAAGACAATATTTAATACAGATTTTATATGATTTAAAGAGGAAAACAAACTTGTTACGAGCTGGAAAACTCTGTTGGCAGTGAGCACACTCAAAAGGCATAGCCGTATGGGTGCACTCGTGATTCCTCAAAGATGAAGACGAGGTAAATGACTTCTGACAGCCGGGAAACTCGCAAATAAATCGGGATCCAGTGTGCTTAACCTTCTGGTGGACTGTTAAATGCGATCGCTGTGCAAATCGCCGATCGCAGAGATCACAGACATATGGAAAATCCCTTGTGTGGTATCGTTTGTGAATCTCCAGGACTTTGGCAATGGCAAACACCTTTCCGCATGTGTCGCAGGACTCTCCGGATCGTCGGTGCTTCGAGTCTACATGCACTTTTAGAGCCTGTTTGGTGAGATAGACCTTGTCGCACTGGCTGCACTGAAAGTGGGGACGGTTGACCAGGTGAATCAACCGGTGTTTGGCCATACGGGAATGGTTCTTGAACACCTTGTTGCAGAATTGACAGCTAAATTTGCCCGTGTGGCGATGACGGGGCACGAAGTCCTCCATGGTAACCGAGTCGTCGTGTGTGACTGAATCTTCCTGGTCATCCTCCTTGTCCTCAATATCCTCTATGATGAATCCATCGATGTCATCTTCCTCCTCTTGTTCTTCCTTCTCTGGCTCTTCACTAGTGTCTGTGATCTCAAAGATCTCCCTCAACTGCTGATTAGCTAGAGCTACTTTCTTGTGAAAATCATAGGCCCATTGCAGCTCCACCGCGCAACGTTTGCACAAGGTCCTGGGCTCGTTGCTGGGACTCTGGCGGAGATCCTCCTTGGTGCAGATCTCGTAGCAGTCGTAGTAGCTCAGTTCTGCCTCCTGGTCATAGATGTCAGTCATGTCCAGCATTTGGTTCGGATGCGGCTCCTCCAAACACAAACGGCAGCAGTGGCTTAACCCTGGAAAAGCAGAAGCCCCCGAGCATGAGACTTCTCGGGACACAAGTTCTGCAACTTGCTTTGTTATGGTGTAAGTTAGTGTTTTGCATTCTTCTGGCTTATGTCGATTCATCTGGGAAAAGGTTAGTGTTAATAAAAACGGAATTAAGCTAATAATAATTACTTGTTTACAATTGAAAGTCCCCGCTCAAAACAATAAAATCCAAGAAAAACTAAACATAGCTAAACGCAGAGTTGCCACCTTTTGAAAGTTGGATGGGTGGCAGCGCTCAGCAGCGCTTAAATTTTTAAGAACTTTTTCTTTCGCAGTTGTTGTGTTTTAATTGTAAGTCCCCTGAAAATGGAGAAGCATCCTGAGCCGGAGAATACCACTAAAAATCCTGAAAAGGAAATCCTGCATCCGGATGATGCCCAGTACATTTGGCTGCCCATTTCGGTGCTCGTTGTCATTTTTGTTCTAGCAGCTTTGGTGCGTTACTTTCCTTATCTCTGGATATTTGTTCAAGTGCATTTACATTTGTTTAATTTATGCATCTGGATGTCCCCAGGTCTACGCAATGTCACGTAGTCGCTGTCGAGTTTCCTGGGAATGTCTGAAACGCAGGAAGGCCCCCCGAAGTGGGTACATAAACGTGGACGAGGAGGATTCCGATGTGCCCATGGCCGGTGAGGATGAACTGGGGGATCACCGGATTGAAGCCAGTCTGCTCAGCGGCCGGCTGCAAATTCAGGATGTGAGTGAGGTCTGGACAACGACTAATTCCGATTATAATCCCACTTTATCCACAGCGACCACATAATGTCTTAAACGCCTAGCCAATCTCAAAAGACTTCCATAAACTTTATTGTCCACGTTGTCTCCACGTTGGTTGTCATCGGTGAAGTTACTATTGCAAACTAAGTGCCTCTACTACAAGTACTACGAAAATAGTTATATGTTAATGATCCGTATTGGCGGTGCCCAGCACTCGCGTCGTCAAGTCGTAGAAGCCAAAGAAGAATGCACCGCCAAGTGTGATCCACAGCACCCGCGGAACAAAACCAGCAAACAGACTGAAATATAACAAAAACATACATTGAAAAATGTAAATATAATCGTTAAACCTAAATGGCATTTGTATATTCTCATTTCATTACTTCTCAAATGATTAAAAATGCCAAAATGGGACAAGTACGGTTTAAATAAAACCTAAAATCTAAATATTTACCCGCCAAAGCCTCGCTCCAGGTAAATGTTATGTAAAATGCTACGGGCGCTGCGACGTCGATTGAGACTCTCCCTTTCGGCCAGCATAATTCGCGTCTTGACCACATCCAGTGGAGTGGTTAACCCTGCGGAAATTCCTCCAGCTACGGCTCCACAAAGAGCCACCGAGATGGGAGTGGACTCGTAGCCGGTTAAGGGCGTCCATCGGAGCTTAAAGTACTCCCAGAGGGGGAATTGAATCAGACTGAAGGGAATTTCCCGCATGATGGTGGAACCGAATCCTCGATAAAGACCGCGTTGCAGCCCCTCAGTACGATAGGCCCGTAGCAGGATCTGCAGACCGGATTGTTTGTTGCCCAGTAACGTTTGGGAGCGCTGCTTGGCAATCTCCACGGGAACGCGGATCAAACAAGCCAACTGAGAAGTACAGACGAATGTTAAATCTATAAATTAATTATAAAGTTTCTATGTAGAACCAACCACTTCTGCTGCCGAGGCTGCTGCCATGTGAACATATGGCGAATCTTTGGTGTGGGTTACGGAGCTGAGGAACTGCTTGCCACATTCATAGGTGCAGAAAAACAGAGCCGCTGTGGGAGCACTTCCAGCAGCCGCAGGAGCCAATCCTTTGTAGATACCCCTGAAGCCTCCCGCCCGCCAAAAGCCTAGCTCGCTTTGCAGGCGGGTTTTCACGGTGTCAATGGGAAAAAGGGCAATGTCCACCACCAAGCCAGCCACGCCCCCTGCCTATAGATTTTAATTTATGATTTCAGTTCTTACTTAGATATTTTAAGTACTCACAACAAGTGCATGTAAAAACTTCATTTTGTTCACGGGCTCTTGCATGCTAATTTCCATTGACCCTGCAGCCGAATCCATTGCTAGTTCCGCTGCCATGTCCTTACAATGTGGTTTAAACAACCACTTTATGTCATTATACCAGGATTTTCGTTTAAATTAATTAGATAAACAAAAACATGCGAAATGGTTGTTAACGTAACAATCAGCTGCTTTTTGGTGATCTGGCAACGATGTTCGTAACAGCTGTGCGGCGTAGGGCTGTCAAAGGGTTTAAAACTATACATATTTATAACTTATAATAAGATTAGTTATAAAAAATAGTTTTCTTAAAGTTTCCCTAATGTTTTTAATTTCATATAGATAAACTTGTTTTTTATTCCAAAATATGAATATTTTAATATTCCTAATTTGTACTTCACAACCCTAGGTCGCAGTCGTTCTTGGGTGAAAAGAAGAAGAGCAGCAGCACCGATTTGGCCAAGTGGAATAAAGCGCAATTGGCCGTGATTTAACCGATAATAAAAACTCGCCAGCAGTCGCGTGAAAACCAATAAGCTAACAACAAAATCATGGCCCTTCGCTTGTCCCAGAGATTGCTGCAGACGCAGACACCGTTCCTCACCCGCGTAAGATTTTCGCGACCGGAAAATTGGCCAACAAATGGAAATTACATAATGCGCGGCTGTCAGATCCTATTGATCGTCTTATCTATTCGTTTTCCAGGGATATCCCCTGCTCGTGACCAAGGAGAAGACCGAGGATGTCGCCCACACCAAATCGGCGCTGCAGAAGAAAGTCACTGTAAGTCCACCGCTGGAACGCACTCCAATTGAGGTTATAGCATTCGTATATATCTTCGTGAACAGGGCACCGATATTCCCTCGGCACAGTATGGAGGTCGTCATGCAGTGACAATGCTGCCGGGCGGCGGCATCGGTCCTGAACTGATGGGCTATGTGCGGGAGATTTTCCGGTACTGCGGTGCCCCCATTGATTTCGAGGTGATCGATATCGATCCTTCCACCGAGGGCAACGATGATCTGGACTATGCCATCACCTCGATCAAGCGGAACGGAGTGGCGCTTAAGGGCAACATCGAGACCAAGTCGCAGACCTTGTCTGAGGTCTCACGAAACGTGGCTATCCGCAACGAGCTGGATCTGTACGTAAATGTGGTGCACTGCAAGTCCTATCCGGGCATCCCGGCTCGTCATCACGACATCGACGTGGTGCTTATCCGCCAGAACACTGATGGCGAGTACGCCATGTTGGAGCACGAGTCCGTGCCCGGAATCGTGGAGAGCATGAAGGTGGTGACCGTGGATAATGCGGAGCGTGTGGCACGATATGCCTTTGAGTACGCCCGCCAAAACAATCGCAAGAAGGTCACCACAATACACAAGGCCAACATCATGAAGCTGTCCGACGGTCTCTTCCTGGAGGTGGCCAATCGAGTGCACAAGGACTACCCCGAGCTGGAGCATAATAACATGATCATCGACAACACCTGCATGCAGTCAGTGTCCAATCCTCACCAGTTCGACGTCATGAACATGACCAATCTGTACGGTACCATTGTGTCCAACGTTCTTTGCGGACTTATGGGAGGAGCTGGCCTCATTTCCGGCAGGAACTACGGCGATCATGTGAGTTTAGCTGACTCTCTTTAAACTAAATACCCTCCATTTCCGCTTTTACATGGCTTTTGTTATATTTTTAGTACGCTGTTTTTGAGCCGGGCACCCGCAACACAGGAACCGCCATCGCCGGCAAGAACATTGCCAACCCAGTGGCCATGATCAGTGCCAGTATCGACATGCTGAACCATCTGGGCCACAAGGAGCACGCCAATGTCATCCAGGAGGCTGTCTACCAGACCATTGTCAACGATGCCATTCGCACGCCAGGTGAACCCGAACAGCGTAGTTTTTTTACACAGCAGAATCATTTATATAATCTCCGTTGTTTATAGATGTTGGAGGCACCCACTCTAGTACCGATGTGGTTCAAAACATACTCAAGATCTTGAGTTCCAAGCGCGTGAATTGGTAAAATAATCGTCTGCATTTAGAGTAGTTTATATGTTCTTTTATCGCGCTGTCACAACCAAGTGTTGTATTATCTATTTAGTTTTTTATCAACCAAACATCTATCGCTTGTACCCCTTTTACTTCACTGTTGCGATTGGTTCTGCCTATGCGGACCTTTTTGTATTTTAATTTCATGCTCTGTTATTGTATTATTTTACTTACTGATTACTTCAGCAGAACTGTAAGTGTTATTGCCAAAAAGGCCTAACTGTGTCCTAACCAACCAGCACACCCACAGACTACACCTAACTACTAACTTTTCGGTTTCTTTACAACTTTGTTTTTTGGGGAATTAAATTGTAAACAATTTTAAGTATTTTATTCTAGGGAAAAAAACATATTTTAAAAATTAAATAGTTTTGGTTTTCTAAATGACAGGACTTTTAAATGATAATTATATTTTCCCAGAGAAGTACTTAAAATTGTTTATAAACTTTGACCAAGCCCACAATAAGGCAATTGCTTCGTTGAACTTTTCTGTTGTATATTTGTCTAAGTAGTGCTCCAGTAGAACACACCACCACACACATTCAGTACACAAGTATGTAGTTTTCGTTTTGAACGTATAACCAAAATTGTCCTTGTGCAGCTTTAATCAACAAAATTATTCTGTTTTTTCTCCTTTCCCCGAAAATCCAAAACGCTTACCCGCTCCGCAGGCCCCATGGAAACTATTTCAGCCAATAGGCACTATCGCACTATTGAAACTCAACCAACTGCTAACAAACTCAGCAAGATAAACCAAATCAAACCAAGTCTAATACCAAACCAATCAAAATTATATTAACCCATAACTAAGCCAATTTGAGACATCTTGTACCCCAAGCATTAATGTGATGCCCAGAAAGAAATTGGTATAATTAAATCGAGGTCGAACTATTCCGCTGCTTAACCCAAACAAAATATGTTACCCCGGCTAAATGTCCATGTGTGTTCATTTGATGTCCAAGTGTGATAAATCAGGTAACGCAAACTCCACTTACTTTTCAGCTCTACATTCTTTAAACCGTTTGTATGGATATTAATCTATTTTTATCATATATTTCACAGATTTTCTTGCCGGCCCTATCCAATGTTTCTGCACTATGACTCTTTTTTAACCCCCTACTGAGAGCCCTACTCCTTTCTCTTATTTCACTTATATATCCTAAGGCATCCACGATTGTACAGATGTACAAGAATACCACACTTTGGCCTGTTAAAAAGCTAAGCAAATAGTTTCAACAAATAGTCAAGCGAAGCGATATTAAATAGTAATTTAAAATTTTCCAAAATTGTAACATTGAAAAGCTAATTCAAACAAAATGTATTATTCTGTTCGAATATTTATTAGTAAAGAAAAAAAAAGTAAGAAAGACAACATAATTATTGGTTTTTGATTTTTTAAAGTTCCGAAGATGTCCTATGCGATCTTTTGATTTGGATATGGATGACTTCAAAACTGAATGGAACGACTTTACTTGTTTTGCAAGCATGTATTCAAGATCTTTGCCACCTTGTTCACATAATTCCATGGGCAAATGCCCCACTTGAACACTCAAAAAGAAGGCACAGTTTCCACTTCGGTCAGTTTTATCAGAATTACTTCTTTGTTTATTAAACCTTAAAAAGAGCGACAATCCAGTAACCACAAGTAGCGAATGGGTAGCTTAGAAACGCAGCTTCTGGAAGAACCACTTGTTCTTGCCCTCCTTGTAGACGGACTCGAACTTGACGCGGGTCTGGAAGCGGTGCGTCTTGCGCTTGACGGGATCCTTCAGGTCCTTGGGCGACAGCTTCTCGAAGCTGATGTCGTGCGCCGTGTAGCGGGTGGGCATCAGGTGGTTGTAGTTCAAGCTCTTCAGGAAAGGCTTGACCTTGGACTTCTTCTTCAGCTTGTTCTTGCCCATCTTCTTGGTCACCTTGCGCGGGTAGCGATCGATGCCGGCGACGAGGGCGTGTCCGAAGGGCTTCTCCGGGGTTCCATCGTCGGAGGTCTTGACGATGATGGCCTTGCGACCGGCGTAACGTCCGCTAAGGACGATTACGATCTTGCCCTGCTTCATGATTTTCCTCATCTTGGCGGCTTGCTCTGTAAATCCATTGTTGATTTTTGATGGGTGCATAAAATTAAAAGAGAAATAACACAAAGTTAGTAGGTTGATAACATTTTTAAATCATTTTTGGCGCCAAAATGATTCAATGCGTTTATGTTAATTCTAAAACTTGTTAAGCTCTTATTTAAGGATTGGTTGGAAGTGACTTTTGAAACATCACGGGTAACAACAAACTCAATTCCAAACTGACACGTTTTTCTTCATTTGAGTTGCAGTTTACCGACTTAACCGTGATGTCCAATCATGTATGTTTTTATCTGTAGAAGATACAGGAACTGGCCAGAGCAGTGCTCTTAATGCTAGAAGACCATGCGGAAGGTTACATCCACATAGTTTTTGAAGTATTTGAAGAAACAGACGGACAGTAGCGACTTTGGTTCTACTTTATGGAGTCAATAGGCATTCTTTTTTGTGTTGCAAATCATAGTCCCCTTTGAATAGGCATTAAATCCACAAAGCACACTACTCACAAGTCTGCCGGTAAGCAGAAAAAGATATTTTGGTTAAAATTGGACTAAAATTATACGCGAAGCACACCACTCACCGGAAACGGGCGAAAAGAAAAGAAGGGGAAATTAGTGTGGCTGTGGCAGGTGGAGCTGTCAAAAACTAAAATCAGTGTATATTCGATACAATCGATGTTTAAAACTACAACGCTGGTGTGGAGGTTAACTCTACTATGAGTGGTGGGTAACTCTGCTATCACTGTATTTCAAACATTGGTAGCAATCGATATTTTTATATATTTTTAAAAATAGTGCTGTATGTTAATATCAAAAAAATGGAGTGGTAACTAGAAAAACTGGAGTGAAATCGTTATCAGTGCCCAAAAACTCGAGCGGAATATTTTACAGTGAGCGGGTACTAACAGATTGCGCGCAAATGTTGGAGTAAAATCGTTAACAGTGCGCAAGAAGTGGAGTGAGATTTACAATAACCTTTAGAGATGGGAAAACATCGGTTGTACCCGCCCAAACATCGATATCAGCGATATTTTGAAAAAATCAATGACATCGATGTTCCTCCACCTCTAGCGCGTATTGTATTTGTTTTGTCGCGAAATGAACTCAGAAATCAAATAGTCGCAGTATCTGTGGGTAAACAAAGTGATAAAGCGTGAAATGTGTCAGCTGGTGGGCGAAGAAGCTGCCGAGAAACTGTTTTAGTCAAGGTGCGCCAAATCGGAGAATCTGCCTGTGTGCGTGGGAGTGTATAGTCGCTGCCTCTTCCAATTGGAATTGTTCTTTTTTGGCGTGACAATTAAACGGAGAATGTTTACTTAATATATACGTTTACCTTATCTAGAAGCGAAGTGTATGTGTGTGCATTAAAGATTTGAATGGTAAAATGGTGTGCCTATAGTTCCACTGCGAATTTCCGTTTTCCTGCAGATTCCTTTTACAGGAAAAATCAATAAAAGGCCCAATCAGAAGGCGGCTGCGCCTGAGTGTGGGTGTGCGGAGTGCGTGGGTGTTAGTGCTCCTTTATCGAGCCCACATAGTGCGTTTTCCTTTTCGTTATTTTCAAACTGCTGCAAGTGATTGTGGCACGCCTAATTGATAACTATTTTCGACCACTTCCATTTCACCGCAGCATAATTAATCACCGCATTTCGGCTGGCTGGGCCATTAAGGAAAATACAATAATATCTGCACGCTCGATTGTTTTACATGCCTATGAACATTACAAAAACTCACAACACAGTTCCTCACTGCATGCGCTCGTATTTAGTTTCCCTTTTACTTTTCTACAATTTACATAATCATCATCTCGCGGCGGCAAAGACATAAAAGCAACAAAACAACGAAATAAAACAACTCAAAACGAAGTGGCGTTCATTAAACCAACTCATAAATGCACATACAAAAATCGTATGTATGAATATCAGTAGTTGAGCTATGTGTAGTGTTGTTATTTATATATTTTTGCGCATTTTCCCCTGTGTGTCTGTTTAATGGCTTTTGGTTCCATCATCATCATCGGCTTTTCCTCCCCCTCTTTCCCAAAATCTTCAATTCTCCCTTCTTTGATAATTCTGCCGCGCGGTTATTCAGTATGCAAAATGTGTGCCAAGCCAAAAAGCACCACAGTGGGTGGAATTCGAGGATTGGGGGGCAAAATCGCTGAACTACTTGAGGGGGTTTCAAGTGCAGGGTCATTGGATATTTCTGCGTTGCTAAAGTAATTTATTTTAGATGTCCCGTACAATTTTATGATTTGTTCTTATAGGGGAGGGTAGAATGAAAACAACCCCGAAAACCTTTCAAGTACTTCTAAGTACATTTTTTATTTAGCTTACAGGTCAATAGTCAACGTCTTGGATCGATAGTTTCGAATTTGGACAATAGGTGGCTTTCACTACAATTCCTCTATACCGTTTACTTTCCAAAAAAATGTAACACCTAAGAAAACATAGAAACTATTGCAGTTTAAATGATGAATTTATACTTGTTCATAAAAAAAACATTTTAAAAAATCTCAGCTCTGATTTTGTCTTTATATATGATTAACCCAAAAAAGGGAAAGTGTTTTCCCAAATACGATAAATTAAATCATCAAAATACAAATATGTTTTTGCTTCATTTTTATGAAGATTACTATAAATGGAATTGCTCACATCTTGCTTCAATTATTCAAATTGCCAGTTTTAATACACTTCATATTAATCGCTATCTCTATAATTTTAAAAACAATAGTAAGCACTTAAATATTTAATTGTTTGTTACAATTTGCAGATTCCCTTTTCAAAAACTGATGGCCCACTCATAACAGTTATTCTCGGCAATTTTAAATGTTTTGTCAAAGCGTGGGATACTTTTAAATATCGCCTGCTATTAAGCAATTCAATTTAATTTGCAAATACTGTTGACTCAAACCGTTTAGTTTTGAATTGTGTCCATTGTGCGCTGAATCCCTTATGTGTTCTGGTGGCCGGTTAATGACACGAGGAGTCGTCTCTTGGGGGGACTTTGAAGCTCTTGGCTAGACAAGTGACGCATATTTTCGCATTCTTTGTGGTACTTGTATATATAGGATCTACATATATGCTGGCTGATTTGTCTAATTCGCTGATCGTTGATTCATCGCATTGCTCGTCTTTTTTAAATTCTTTCGTCTTGAGGGAACAGATATCGGAGGCACATGTAAAACTCTTGCTAAATGTTAATCAGCGCAACGCCTTATCAAGGGACTGATAGGGACAGTCATATATATTTTGGGTTAAGGCCTCAACAAACAATCAATCGACGTTGATGAATGATTGGACACTGTTGGCCAGTCCGGCATTCCATTCGAATTTCGAATGGATTGGATGCATGCATTTCCGCTGTTACACAAGCGATTTGCATTTCGCAGCCACTCAAATTGCGGTTACCACTTTTTTTTGCTCGCTGTTTCTCTCTTTATGTTGGTCGCAATTAAAATTTGATTAATTTGCCAATTGGAGCTTGAACAAGTTGACTTGTGGGGAGCGAGAACTGGTACACGACCCGGGTCATTCCCAATCCAAATCCACTTCAGATCTCTGTCTTGTATTGTTTACACAGAGAAAAAATAACACTTTTACATCGTTGTTTTAATTTAAGAAGTTTCTTATTTCCATTAAAATTTTATAGCAGTCGTTTGCTCAGTGCTTAAGTTTATGTACTTTACAAATTTAATTGATTTAACTGGCTCACAGTTTCGTTAATGTGTGTGCAGGACATTAAAATGTTCAATATTAATAGTACGATACAATTATTTTAATGATATTTCTATTAAGAGCCGAACTGTTTAAAGGTTGAAAAATCTAATTAAATATCATAAAGTCTAGAGTTTATGGCCGCTTTCCGCCCTTATTTCCCCCGGTGTGCATACATATTTATGTTCGTTTGTCCATGCTCAATTTTACGCTACGATAACAACTAAAAAAAAGAAGTGCAGCACCAAATTGCATTTGCACATAATTCAACGGTAGCTCAAATGAGAAATATGTCTTGTACTCGTATTGTGTGTGTAGCAACAACAATAACAGCAGTACTATATCTGCTGAAAACGCATCTGTATCTTTTTCATGCACTGGAAATTCCGCAAAGACGACGCCGTGTGCCGCTAACTTTCTAAAAGATGCAGCGCCAGCTAATCATGATAATGATTAAGCTGATTATTTGCTATTGTTTGTGGCACTACCAGAAAGTTGGCCGATGATTAAGTTACAGTGCGATAGAGCAGACAATCAAAAGAAACTGCCACAATAGACGAATTCTTCAAAAAGACTAGAACATTGTGCATCTGCTCAGAAAGTAGGGGTTAACAAGTGCCTTAATGAACAATTAAAAGTAATTAAGTGTGATTATCATTAAAATCAATCGATCGATAATTATAATCAATACTCTCGGTTTCATTTTTTATGGAGGAGTAATATAAGGAACCTGAGACCATTCTTTTAAATTTTGTAAAATGACTTCACCTTCTCCAGATAACATTTATCGTGGTAGGATCATCGTATCATTAGGCTGACATAGTTACCATCGATCATAAAACAAGTCATATGGTCGTGATGAGTAAAGTTTAGGCGCTACAATAGACAACTGTCACAGTAGGCCCTTGGTTTTACTAATTTGAACCCAAATATCCTGATGTCTTTAAAAACCGACAAAAACAAAATGTTGATATATCATAAAAGACTTTCCGAAAAAAAAATAATTGTTTATCAATTGAGAAAAGCGAACCAATTGTTTAAAGCAATTAAAAAAGTAATGAAATTGAAAGTGGCTTACCAACTTTTTACTTTCGAAGCTAAATATATTTATCTTATTGTAATTCTTTTGTAAGCACCTCAAACTTATCTCCGCCTTATCCGGTTGCATTTTTGAGCGCTGCCCACACCTGATATTTGATAAATGTATCCATGCAGCCAGGCAATTCGTCTCTATTTCAGTTTAGCTCAGCGGATTACTACAGGCATTGGCGGCTAGAGAGGCGTCGCGTCTATAATTAGCCCACGCCCTGGTCCGGCACTAAATTTATAGCAACTATATAGTCTCAATTGCGCCTCTTACTTAGTTTTCCCTGTCTCCCCTCCTCGCAGGCCATGGATCATTGACTGTTGACACTCTGGACATCTGAAATCCCCAATCCCCGCCAGGCCATGTTGGAGCCAACGCTGACGCCCGATCTGGAGGAGGGCATCGCCGGGCTCAGTCTAGACGATGTGGACGTGGACTCGGTGCCGGAGCGCAAGCCGCACTTCCTGGACTACGATGCAGTGCCTCCGCCGGACTACGAGGATGGCTTCGGGGCCAGCTCCGGAGAGCAACTGAAGATGGACAAGAAGTACGAGCGCGATGGCGAAGTCAGCGACTATGAGCTGGCCGCCAGTGGCTACACGAAGAAGGAGTTCACCCAGGACGACAACACCCTGCACTTCACCCAGAGTGGAGCAGGATTAGTATCTGGGGCCGTGGGCAAGAAGCCGACGACCAAGCATTTCCTGGACGAGAACCCCATTCCGCCGGACTATATGCTGGCCCAGGAGCTCCGCGAAATGAGGGAGCACCGCAGCCTGGATAGAAACTTTGAGCGGCAGTCGGCTCAGCAGCAGCAGCTAGAGGAATTGCCCACCAGGAACGGAGGCGGATCTCCAGCCAGCGCAGGTCGCCCCTCTCGCAGCAAGGAACCATCTTACACGCTCTCCCGGTTCCTGGATGGGGATTCGCCTGCTCCTGCTCCGAGGTTGCCCAAAGGTGCAGCCTGGACCACAAGCTTTGATGAGCGGTACAGCTCTTCGGCAGTGGACGCCACATTGGGTTCCAAGGTGGAGTGTGTGTATTCACTGCTCTCCATGCTGGGCTCCAACGATCCGCTAGAGATGGCCAAGAAGTTCTTGGAGCTATCGGGAAATGCTCAAAGCTGCGCCACCCTAAGACGATCAGGCTGCATGCCCCTCCTTGTGCAGATGATGCACGCCCCGGACAACGACCAGGAGGTGAGGAAGTGTGCCGGACAGGCACTGCACAATGTGGTGCACAGTCACCCGGACGAGAAAGCCGGAAGGCGGGAAGCCAAGGTGTTGCGTCTGCTTGACCAGATCGTGGACTACTGCTCCTTCCTAAAGACGCTGCTCCAGAGCGGCGGAGAGGCCATTGCCGACGACTCCGATCGCCATCCGCTGGCCGCGATCTCATCGCTGATGAAGGTTAGCTTCGACGAGGAGCACCGGCATGCCATGTGCGAGCTGGGCGCGCTGCATGCGATCCCCAACCTGGTGCATCTGGATCACGCTGTCCACGGACCAAAGCCGGAGGATCAGTGCTGCAACTCACTCCGGAGATATGCCTTGATGGCTCTGACTAATTTGACCTTTGGGGATGAGAACAACAAGGCGCTGCTGTGCGGACAGAAGCAGTTTATGGAGGCCCTGGTGGCCCAACTGGACTCAGCTCCAGACGATCTGCTACAGGTGACGGCCAGCGTGCTGCGCAATCTCTCTTGGCGGGCGGACAGCAACATGAAGGCGGTGCTGAATGAGATTGGAACGGTGACGGCGCTGGCCTTGGCAGCCATGCGAAACAGGAGTGAGAACACCCTGAAGGCCATCCTTTCGGCCCTGTGGAACCTCTCGGCGCACTGCAGCACCAACAAGGCGGAATTCTGCGCGGTGGATGGAGCTTTGGCCTTCCTGGTTGGAATGCTGAGTTACGAGGGTCCCAGTAAAACGCTAAAGATCATCGAGAATGCGGGTGGCATCCTGCGGAATGTGTCCAGCCACATTGCGGTGTGTGAGCCGTATCGACAAATCCTACGCCAGCACAACTGTCTGGCCATTCTGCTGCAGCAACTGAAGTCCGAGAGCCTGACGGTGGTTAGCAACTCCTGTGGAACTCTGTGGAATCTGTCAGCTCGTTCGCCCGAGGATCAAAAGTTTCTGTGGGACAATGGAGCGGTGCCCATGTTGCGTTCGTTGATCCACTCCAAGCACGCCATGATCTCAGAGGGCAGCTCCTCGGCCTTGAAGAACCTATTGAACTTTCGACCTGCTGTCCAAAATCATCACCAGCTAGACCCCATTGCCCGTTCCATGGGCCTGAAGGCATTGCCCACTTTGGAGGCGCGAAAGGCCAAGGCACTGCAGCAGGAACTGGGTGAGCGGCACACAGCGGAGACGTGTGACAATCTCGACACGGGTGGCAAGCTGGCCAAGGAAAGGGCTTCCAGTTCATCCAGACGTCATCCGGCTGCGCCACGCCTAACACGCTCGGCAATGCTAACGAAGAGCGAGAGCAGGGATTCTGTTTACTCGGCCAAGTCGGACTGCGCTTACGATCACCTAATCCGTTCCGCATCAGCCTCGGATGCCCATCGCAAAGTGAAGCCCAAGATCACGGACTTCGATCTGGAAATGGAACAGGATGTAGAGGCAACCGAGGAACAGCCCATTGACTACTCGGTCAAGTACAGCGAGAGTGCCACCAAAACCTCGACATATCAGGAAACGGACCTCGATCAGCCCACAGACTTCAGCCTTCGCTATGCGGAGAACCAAATTGAATCCGACCTGGACATATCAGGATCAGCAGGGGCGCAGAAAAGTACCATTACCCCTCCTGCTGAAACAGTTCCAGTAAAATCAGAAGGCCAAGAGATCCTGCTGATTCTAGACGACAGTGTCAAATGCTATCAAACCGAGGATACCCCCTATGTTATATCCAATGCAGCTTCCGTAACGGACCTACGAGTCACTGCTAAAACTGAAGCAGATGTGAAACCGGAAGCTAGGGAGGTGGCTTCCAAGGAAGGGGCTCCCAAGAAGCTGCCCAAGCTATCGCAGTGCGGATCTGGTTCGTATACTCCAGAGAAACCCATTAATTACTGCGAGGAGGGAACACCCGGTTACTTTAGTCGATACGATTCCCTTAGTAGCTTGGATGAGTCCGGTAAAGCTAACCAGGCAACTGTGGGAAACGAAGCTGAAATCAAACCCAAATCAGAAAAGCAGGAGGATCAGGAAGCCCAACCAACAGAGCAGGTCCTGGTCAAACCCCCCACCCAGGCTAATTCGGCGTTGGAAACCCCTCTAATGTTTTCCCGTCGCAGTTCCATGGATTCCCTAGTCCACGATCCGGATGTTGATGTGGCCAACTGCGATGACAAGAGCTCGGTGGTTAGTGACTTTAGTCGCCTGGCCAGCGGGGTGATTTCCCCATCCGAGATTCCGGATTCCCCCACGCAAAGCATGCCACAATCGCCGAGGCGAAACAGTGTGGCTGGGTCGGGACCCAATGTGGATTCGCCACCAGCTGCAATCCCGGCCAGCCTGCAACCATTGCGTAGCGTCTTCGAGGATGATTTAAGCAGCTTCAACGTAGAGCATACACCTGCTCAGTTCTCCACGGCCACCAGTTTGAGCAACCTGAGCATAGTGGATGACGAAAAAGCGCCAGCTAGTGTGGCAGAGGAAGACAACGAAGATGAGCTGCTCTTGGCCAACTGCATCAACATGGGCATGCAACGCAAGCCAACTGAGGTGGCGAAGTCGGCAGTTGTTAACACAGAAGTGGACGTGGCTGAGGAGACCATTCGTAGCTATTGCACCGAGGATACGCCGGCTTTGCTATCGAAGGTGGCCAGTAACACCAATCTTTCAGCCATCTCTATGAGCTCCATTGACCCCAAGGACGCACTGGCTGGCCAGGCACAGATCTACGCGCACCACCTATCTGACGATGTATCCTCAAACGCCTCGGACTGCGGCGGAGCAGCTGGTGTCCTGCTGCAGCAGTGTATCCGGGATGGCATGCAGAAGCCCCTGTCCGAAGCAGCTTCAGATCCCATTGCCATGCTTAGAAGAGGTGGTAACCTTTTGCCCGGCTACCTGCCCTCCGCCGATGAGATGAACAAGTTCTTGGTGGAGGACAGCCCCTGCAACTTCTCTGTGGTCTCCGGCCTTTCAAATCTCACCGTGGGTTCCAGTCTCGTTGGACCAGCCGTGCAGCTCAAGGAGACCGTGTCGTGAGTAGTGATCCCATACTTTGTTTAACTTTTGCACTAAGTCAATGGATTATTAATTGCATTATTTTCAACAACCAAATTATATAATATTTATTTGTTTCTGATCTCGAAGTATTGGTCTGAACACAATCATTCAGAAGTATGCCAAAATCGAATATCTGTAAGAAAAGTTATGGGCTCAGAAGTTCGGATTTTAGGTCATTTTTCTGCAAAGCCATTTTCGAAAATTTGGAAAGGGGTAACACTGTCAAAATGACGAAAAATCGACTCCAAAATACAAACCAAGCTGAGAACACAGTTTTTTAGAGGATTACACCACAATCATTTAGAGGTATGACACTTTGAAATCGGATGTCTGTAAGAAAAGTTATGGGCTGAGAAGTGCAGGTTTTAGGACACTTTTCTGCAAAGCCATTTTTCGAAAATTTGGAAACGGGTAACACTGTCAAAATGACGAAAAATCGAACCAAAAATACAAACCAAGCTGAGAACACAATTTTTTAGAGGATTAAACCACAATCATTTAGATGTATGCCACTTTGAAATCGGATGTCTGTAACAAAAGTTATGGGCTGAGAAATACAGGATTTAGGTCATGTTTCAGCAAAGCCATTTTTCGAAAATTTGGAAAGGGGAACACTATAAAAATGACGAAAAATCAACCCAAAAATACAAACCAAACTGATAACACAGTTTTTTAGAGAATTGAACCACAATCATTTAGATGTATGCCATTTTGAAATCGGATGTCTGTAAGAAAAGTTATGGGCTGAGAAGTGCAGGTTTTAGGTCATTTTTCTGCAAGGCCATTTTTCGAAAATTTGGATAGGGATTTGTCAAAATGACGAAAAATCGACCCCAAAATACAAACCAAACTGATAACACAGTTTTTTAGAGAATTGAACCACAATCATTTAGATGTATGCCATTTTGAAATCGGATGTCTGTAAGAAAAGTTATGGGCTGAGAAGTGCAGGTTTTAGGTCATTTTTCTGCAAGGCCATTTTTCGAAAATTTGGAAAGGGGTAACACTGTCAAAATGATGAAAAATCGGCCCCAAAATACAAACCAAGCTGAGAACACAGTTTTTTAGATGATTAAACCACAATCATTTAGAAGTATGCATCCTTGAAATCGGATGTCTGTAAGTTATGGACTGAGAACTGCAGGTTTTAGGTCATTTTTCTGCAAAGCCATTTTTTGAAAATTTGGAAAGGGGTAACACTATAAAAATGACGAAAAATCAACCCCAAAATACAAACCAAGCTGAGAATACAGCTTTTTAGAGGATTAAACCACAATCATTTAGAAGTATGCCACTTTGAAATCGGATGTCTGTAAGAAAAGTTATGGCCTGAGACGTACAGGTTTTTGGACACTTTGGTGGGTTACATGCTAAAAATGACAAAAAATCGACTCAAAATTATAATTAACAACCTCTGCAAGCGTATATAAAGAAATAGTAGGCTTTTATTAAATTAGTGATTTTATTTTAATAGCCTTTTTAAAATGTCAGATTTTATATTAACATCAAGTGGGCTATATCAGGAAGTTACGATAATAAGTCTGACTATATAATGTTTTGCTTTAACGTGAAATGGTGGTCTAAGTTAGAAAAGTGCATTCAAATTAGAGATAAACTATATTTATTTATTATATTTACCCTTAGAACCAGTTTGGATCCAAAACGCAGAATTGACCCAAAGCCCGCTGGACAAGACCAAGTCCGAAGACCGCCGCATTGGCAAGATGATTCGCTGAGTTCTCTATCCATTGACTCGGAGGATGATACCAATTTACTGAGTCAGGTAATCAGTAACATTAACCCAAAATTCAACGAATTTCAAAAGATTTATTTTATATTCTAGGCTATTGCCGCTGGCTGCAATAGACCGAAATCGAATCTTGGCTTCAGCTCGAACGGCAAGCGCTCCAGCTCGCTGAGCTCCTCGCAGCCGATAGCCATCAATGCGGCCACCTCGGCCAGTTCTCTGAATTCAGCGATGACAGTCCGCAAGAACCAGCAGCAGGAGTCGTACAGCTCCGTGGACTCCAGCGACTCCAACGACAACCAGTCCAAGTCGCTCTTCGAACTGTGCATTCTGAAGGGAATGTACAAGTCCGCGGAACCCGGAGCTAGAGCCCAGCAGCTGCAGGAGCAACCGATTGTTGGAGCATCCTCCACCCAGTCAAATCCCAATCTGAAGCAGTTCGATTCGTTGCCGGTGCAGCTGCCATCTGGTGGACAGCCCAAGCGGCAGCGTCATCACCATCACCACCATCATCACAGGGAGCGGGAGCGAGAGCGCAAGGACGAGAAGTTGCTGCAGGAGTGCATCAATACGGGCATCTCCAAGAAGATCAACACCGTGCCAAAAAACGTCCTGGCTACGTCTGCGGCTGCATTGGAACCGTGTCACCCAATGGCAGCTACTACATCAGCAAGTGCCCACAGCACAGCAGCTCCAGACGTAGAGCAGAAAGCGCACGCCACCAGCAATCCGCACCAGCAGTCGTCCCCGCACCCGAGCACCCTCATCCTCCTGAATCCTATCGGCGCCATCGCCACCGTCACCGACACAGCAAGAAGTCTAGCAGCTCCAGATCGAGGGAGCGGGAACGCGAATCAGAACGGTCTCGAGACCGCTATTGGGTCTAAGGACATGGACTCGGAAGATCGCTCTAGTGATGAGTCAAACCAGTCCTTCATAATGGAGACCATGGTCAGGTTGGACACTGCGCCCGACGAAACTTGCATCTCTGGTGCAAGCGAGAAGCACAAGGATCCAGACCTAATGCTCAAGTCAGTGGAGAGACTGACCATGGAGTTCGTCACCTCGGCGGAGCAGTTGCGCAGTAGCAGCAACAATCATAGCAGCAGCAACAGCCACAAGAACACGACCAGTAGCAACAACACCTGGAACGAGCACACCTGTCCTAATGACGTGAGCTTCCCCAGTGTCAGTCAAACGGCTCCGGTTTTGGCCTCCTTGAGTTTGGATGAGGATGTCACAGAGGCGAGGTCCCTGCATGAGCTGAAAGAGATTACGCCCACAAATGAACAGCAGCCGGCATCGCTAGAAGGCGAAACCGAAACTTTGGTCAATGGACATGCCGAGAGCTACTCGGGATCTTCATCTGGAGGACTGAACTTCCAGCTGGGTGGACAGGTGCAGAACGCTGGCGTTAGACTGGAGCCCCAAAGGCTGCTGTTCAATGGAACCAGTGCCTCCATGATGACCAACTCCACAATGATTGCGTTCGAGGCGCGGGCTTTGGCGGAAAATCTCCTCCAGCCCGCTGCCAGCGATGAGGACAACACGGAGATGACCTTCAGTATGAACAGTTTGGACCTGGACAATGTGCGTCCGCCGTCGGGAATGGAATCGCTCAACAGCTGCTATCAGGAGCACTCCCAGCCGAGTTCGCTGCGCCAGCAGTTGCCCAGCAAAAGTCCCAGATTTGCGCGGAAAATGTTCCCAGCCAATTTGGTGGCTCGACGAGCACTGGGTCACTTGGCTGGCAGTGCGGAGAGCGTCAACTCCAGCTGCAACCTGCTGGACAACATTAAGCCGCCCTCGCTGATGGACGAGCTGCTGGACTCCATGATTAGTGTGGACAGCATCCAATCGGAGGTGGCCGATGGCGAGCAGGACTGCAGCATGGCCACCACTATTTCGGTGTCCAACTACGAGACGGCCGCTTGCGATGATCAGACCCTGACCGTCCTCCAGAGTTGCTTCGACGAAGACGAAGATGCCACGATGAATGACTACAGCTCTGCGGAGTCCACGCCCAAGCAAGGATCTACTCCCTCCCCGAATCGTCGCTCCCTCACTCCGAAACAGAAGAGACGCCTGAGCAAGGATCGCTACAAGACCTACACCATAGCGACCAGTTGCGAGATGGAATCACTAGAGGTCAATGAAACCCTGCAGATAGAGATTGTGGAGACGGCTGTTCCATTAGCCACGCCTTCGCCGCGCGCCAACGGCCGGAGGAGGGGCAGTGCCGAGCGATACAAGACCCAGTTGATTGAGTGCCCTCGGGCTTTGATTCAACCCCAACCCGATGATTGCCCCAGCGAACAGCTCTCCTCTATTCGAGCAATGATGCAACAGTTTACTTACATTACAGACATTAACATTGGGCAGGGTCAGGAGAGTTGTGAAGTGGCGGATCCTGCTGGAGAGTTGGAGGAATCTCCGGAGTGCGATCAGAACTCGGAGACGGAGTCCTGCGACGGCCAGGAGCCAGCGCAGCTTCCTCCTCCTCCGCCCATGGTGGAGCTCAAATCTCCTGCGACTAAGCCCACAACTTTGGAGCCCGCGACGGCCGTAAAACTCGTTCGGGGCCGCAAGAAACCAGCCTATGTCTCACCTTACAGCATGCAGAGTCAACGGAATGGCAACAATGCCGCCACGGCCAAAAAGAAAACACTATCGCCGACGATTGCTAAACGCAGTTTGGTGCCCAATGGAGCGGGAGCTAGGCTACCAGCCAAAAAGAAGCCAACTCAGCCACCAGAACCCGCTCGCTTGGAACGGCAGGGAACATTTGTCAAGGACGAGCCCACGAACTCCAATGTGCAGGTGCCCGTGGTGGAAGCCAAACCGGCTCAAACCAGTCCCGGCCATCGCGCCTCGAAGCTGCCCACAAAGAAAGCAACGGCGGGCGGAGATTCACCATCGAAGGCTGGCTCTCCAAAGAGGATTGCCCTGGCTCCAGTGCGTAGGGTGACGCCACAAAGAGCCAATACCAGTCTGCGCTTGGCAGGAGCCAAATCCACGGCTGCATCGCGTTCGGTTTCCACACGGGTGTCGGCCACAACGCCGCCATCCCGCAGCAATTCCAACCTGAATGGAAGCAGTGCAGCCGCCGCAGCGGCGGCTAAGATCAACCAGGCCCAGAGTCGCATTGCCAACATCTGGAAGAGAGTGGACGAGGCGAAGACCAAGCAATCGTCATCCAACCTTAAGTCGCAGACAACCAAATCTTCCAATACGCTCAACGGAAATGCAGCCAAGCCGGCGCTCCTGCGCAGCTCGACTTTTGATAATACCCCCAATCCCGCGGCATCAGCAGGAGGAGGATCAGTGGGAGTCAAATCCAAGTTGCCAGTGGTGGGAGCGCGGAAATAAAAGGTGTTTTAGTCAGGAGTCATAATCACAAATTAGCCAAGTCAACGCGATTTCGAAAAGAGGAGACTGGAACAGGAACAGGACTGTATTTGACACGCATTTTTTTGGAACAGAAGACGCACAGGTCCACTTCCACAAGCAGAGCTAGAGTCAGAGGTAAAATCAAAGAGTTTTTAGGCTAGGAGGCAATATACACTATGTAATCAATATACTACTCTCCTTTTACTTTATACGTATACGTAGTCCCTAAACTTTGTAAGCAACCAGTCTAGCATAGAGTTAGCGCAAACTCCTAGAAACTTCAACTTATCCAAGTCACAGTCGGAGAAGGAGCCCTTCGGCTCCCGATCGTGTGTAGCCAAATTTATTGCATATATACACTAGATCAGGCCTTTCAACATGTGTACAACTCTCTTATATATACAAAATGTATACCGGCATATATGTAATTGATATATATTCGATTTGACGCATTAATTAGAAAGGGTTCACCAAGTCCAATATGTATTTTCATTTTACTTTCACACTTAGTTAGAAAGCGTTGCCACAAAACGGGGCAACTACTTAAATCAATTGAAGTCGTTTAATTGCACATCTGTTTTACGTAACAGACCCGAGGTGAAATTCTGTTGGGATTATATTTTCTAAGTTTAATACGCCCCTAGCTTCCTTATGCAAAAACCAAATATTTCGAAGAGAGAAGAAAACCACTTTTTGTAGTCACAGCTTTTTAAGTATTCTTTTATATAATTTAGCATACGTAAGGGCAAACGTTTTAGAACACAGCTTTTGTATTAAGCCAATCATTTGCGAGTTAGTTTTTACCGATTCAACGCGATTTAAATTTTTAATATTAATAAATCGAAATATGCTTTTTGTCAGCAATTAAAAAATAAAAGAAATGTGAAATTTATTCTGCAGTTTATTTGACCCCTTATTTATAATGGAATATTTTTACCAAAGCAAGATGGAAAATCACATAAACTTTATAAAACATTTTGAGGTTTATATCTAGTTTGGTGATTCATAGCCCGAACTTATAAATTTTATTAAGTTTTAAAAGTCAGAAAATAAAATTAAATGTATCTTTTGAATCTGCAACATTTGTTGGTAAAACGTCAAATGAGAGTTAGTAATTTCGCCTTAAATGCTTTGCTTGTTTATAACATCCTGGTGGAGGAGACGCAATGGCGGATGCACCGGAGGACCAGGTCCCCAAGACGTTGCCTGGTGATAACCAGAACGAGCACGAACCCTGGTACTCCACGCTCATTCAAATCGGAATTCCGTTTTTCCTGGCCGGACTGGGAACGATAACGGCTGGACTGATGCTGGGCAACGTGCAGGATTGGTCAGTGTACCGGGAAGTGAACGAGCTCTTCGTCCTGGTATCGGTGCTATGTGGTCTGAAGGGGAATCTGGACATGTGCGTGGCCTCAAGGATTTCCACCCACTCGAATCTGGGGAACCTTTCCAACCGAAGAGCTCTTTTGCAGATCATCATTGGCAACATGGCGCTGGTCCAACTGCAGGCCATCGTTTGTGCCGCTTTGCTGAGCTCCCTGACCGTCGGGATCAGCGCGGTAATCAAACATGACTTCAGCTACAAGGACTACTTCCTACTGACAGCTGCCGCCCTGATCACCTCCAGCACCTCCTGCTTCCTGTTGGACTCCATTGTAATGGTTGTCATACTGTTCTCGCAGCGCTACAGCTTCAACCCGGACTACATGGCCATACCGATAGTGGCCTCTTTGGGCGACGTGGTGACCATCAGTCTCCTTTCCTTTAGCGCCGCCCTCATGTACGAACTGTGCAAGGCGCACTTGTGGATCTGCATTTGCGTGATGGTCGGCTACCTGGCCGTGATGATGCCCATCTGGCTGGTGGTGGTGCTCCGGAATGCCTTTGTCCGACCCGTTCTGATGGTCAGTTGGATCCCGGTGATTGGAGCACTGTGCATCAGCCAGATCGCAGGATTTGTGCTCAGCTCGTCCGTGGAGGACTTCCGGGCATTCGCCATATTCTCACCCATCATCAACGGGATTGGGGGCAACCTGGTGTCCGTGCAGGCCAGTCACATGGGCAGCGTACTGTACAGGCGCTCCAGCCTGGGCCTCTTGCCCGAGGATTCGCGCATCCTGGAGTGGCCGCATCGGGTCTACCTGCGCGGCACCGTCTACTCCCGGGTGGCACGCATCCTGATCGCCATCTCTGTGCCGGGCAACGTGGTGCTCGTCATACTGGCCGATTATCTCTACATGTCCTATGTGTCCGTAAAGTGGGTCTTCGTGGTGGCCTTCGCGGTCACCAGTCTGCTGCAGCTGCTCGTCCTCTTGTGGCTGGCCCACGCCCTAGTGCATCTGCTGTGGCGACGCAAGATCGATCCGGACACAGCCGCGATTCCGTATCTGACCGCCGTGGGGGATGCACTGGGCACGGGCCTGCTAGCGGTCTTGTTTCACCTGCTCAGGTGGCAGGAGGAGGAGTACGAGCCCAGGGATCAACCGTGGCTGAAGATCAGCTACTGATAATGGGGAAAGTATTTTTTGTTATGAATCTAGAAATTAAAATGTTTAAAGTTAAACTATTCAGTTTTATTCGTGGCATTGATTTATACTAAACGGCTATAACGGTTCAAATTTTAAACTGATTCAGTAACGTATTCCCCTTACGTTGGTTATAACGTATAAAATATACTTACTAAAAATACCGAAATTACCACGACCAAAATAAATTAACTGATATAAATATATACTTAACCGGTTTACTTAATAATAATTAATAGTTTATATTAACTTATTTAGCTAAATAAAAAGCGAATAAATTTTCCGATACTTGGAGAGAATACAAAAATTTGTTTGCACCCGGCCAAACATCGATATCACCTATATTTTGACCACTTCGATGTATCGATACGACGTGTTATCGATACCACTTCCAGCTCTGGGTGGGCGTGCAAATGAATTGAGTGCCAAATAAACAAACTAGCAGAACGTCCGCGAACAAGCAAATCTTCCCGGAGAAAACCTCGACCATGCAACGGATGACGCGGACGCGCGCACAGTAGAGACTCCTTAAAAATAACCGGAGTCAGCGAGGCCACAAAGCTTCAAGCAGCGCGCAGAGATTGTGTGGTGTGTGTGGGAAAAAACAGTGAAGAAGTGCACGAAAATTAACGCAAAAAATCAATGGCCCCCCTTGCAGAGCAGCAGACATGAGAAATCCAAGCCCCGAGAGACCTTGAGCTTAGATACTTTCCATCGGGGTCTGCTCAGCCCTTTTTAACCCCACCTGGCGAAACGGACAGGTGCATCTTCGACTGGGCTTCCGAATGCCAAATATTAAGTAACCCAGACCAGTGTGCATGTATCATACATGCGCACATCTAATCAGTGGTTTCGCCAAAAGATAAGGGCTCTGGTCTTTTCAAAGAGTTTACCCCGCATTTTTCACATTCAAACGCAGCTGGTTGACTGTTTCAGTTTCTGTTTCTGATTTCCGACTCGGAGACCCGTGACTCAACCTATCCGATCCAAACCGATCCGCTCGCAGCCCCATCATAACCAGCTATATCGTCATAGCCAACGCAGGTCTCTCTCGCTCGCGCTCTTGGCCGTAATTCGGGTTAAAGTCCCCTTAAATACCTCAAAACCAATACTAACCATCGATTTTTGAACATAATCGAAGCCCCAAAACCAAATCCAGTTGACTAGCATCTTGAAAACACAGCCAAACTTCCAAAAGACAAACTTCCCTTACTCAAAATATAACTCTCACTCGCGCTCTTAGCCGTAACTCGGATTACATTGCCAAAATCAATACAAATCAGTTATTGTTAAACCCATTCGAAACTAAAAAAAACAAATCCAATTGCTTAACTTAAAAAAAAACAATCGAACTTCCAGAAGTCAAACTTCCCTAAAAGATTAATTATTTGCATTGGCAATACACTGTAAAAATCGTTAATGACAATACACTGTGAAAATCGTCAAAGACTCCATAAATCTTATGTGTTCCCTTGCCAAATCAGATGTGGTTCGATTTATGGAAGTTCAACTGTAACTTTGCGTGCCTTTATTGTTATCTTTATTTTTCGGAGTCGAGTCCCCAGTGCATTGTGTTATTAAATTAATACATTTAGCTTTTGTTCATTTGCGTATTGTTTTCGCCATACAATAAATGCGTGTTGTGTCGTATTGTGCAGGGAAAGCAGCCCAGATCCAGCTCCAGACCCAGATCCAACGACTCTGACCAGATGAGCAGCGGAATGAGGTCGCAGGACGGTCCGCGGGCGAAGGTCAATGCCGCCAGCTCGCTGCTCACCCAGGAGGAAAATGAAGCCGTCTTCAGGCTGCTGGGCAAGAAGTGTCAGGTGAGTAGTGATGATGCATAATAGCCCGTCTGGGTGATTAATAATTAGGCAATGACATGATTTGCACCTCCGTCCCCCCCTCCCCCGACGCCACCGATTTAATCCCAGAGCTTGATGAAGCACTTCCTGCGGCTCAAGTGTCGCCCATCATGTGCGAATATTCGACGCTTCGCAGAACAGAACTTCTGTAACCCTATATCATCGGTAGGCAGCTGTTGCTGTTCGCTGGCTTATTTACCCAATTTCACTTGCACACTGCTCAACATAGTCTAATGGTTTGGTTTCTTTGCCCATGGGTAAATTCGGGGAAATGGGTTTATCAAGTTACTAGATGTTCGTTAGTTCGTCCGTAATCCGTTGTCGTAGTATATACATATATACATATGTATATGTATGACCTTTATTAATTTGGAATCTTCTGAATTGGAACGCTTTTTAAAAGCCACTATCTCCAAAGTGTTTACTGGGTAGTCAAATCTTGAGTCAATGCTGATATTTCTGAATGACGTTGGTATTTCCCTAAATAGCGTATGATTCATTGCTTATAAAAAAAAAAAAATTTTGTGTTCAGAAATAAGACTATAAGTGGTGAAATCCATAAAATTCAATTTAAAATTAGAAACCCAAGGATCAGTAGTAATCTTAATTGTATACGAAAAGCTATGAATTATACACATAATCTTATATTGCGGTTAATATATGAAAAACGATAAAACTGGAATATAAATATGTATTTTGTATTCCTTACTTTAAGTTATTCTTGTATCAACAAATGGAAGAAAGAGACTCTCCCTAGACCTCATTTCAGATGAAGCACCTAATTGTGCTGGGCAGTGTTGCTAGAACCATTTGTTAGACTTGGTTGGTATTTCTAATATTTACCCGGCACTGCTTAGTACCTTTATCAGCAAACGGCTTGAGCCGGCATTGATAGGCCACAAACGCCTTTGTTTGCATTTCTTGATTAGTTATTTTGTTTTTTATTTTCCCTGTTTGTGGTTTGTCAAAGCCAATTCTGCTGCGAAATGAAAGAGAAACCAAAGCCGTTGAGTTCGCCCCATTGGGTCGCGATAAGTTGTTAGGTATTTGTGGCCAACAACAGGCGAATCTTATCTTATCAAACCATCCGCCCGATGGGAATCACCGGCCAATGCCAAGTGCGATAAGAATGCCCTGAAATTGGAGTGGAAACCTGGTATGTGGCCATTTAACGGTGGCCGTTATGCGGATAATTATGGAGTGCACAACATGAGAAAATCGCTCATTTTGATTCGCAATTCACGCTTTGCTAATTCGCAACTTTCCATTGACAAAACATTTCCAAATGCATTTGAACTCTGCCAAAGTAATGCAACAAACGCGCTGGTTAAGGTAGTTAGCCCCTCCAAATCCACGCAAAAAACAACTAATCGATCATGGTTGCCATGATATTATTAATATTTTTTGTATTTGTTTATGGAATTCAAGTACCAAAAACGGCACACTGATCTACGAATTATGCCATCATTCCCAATACTTTTCATAAGATGCACTTTCATGTATTAATACACATAATATTTGATATTTTTCAAGACCAAGCTTTTATAAAACGGTAAAAATATTAAATCAATCATCTTATTATCTCTTTTTTCTGTGTATACTCCCTGCCTTTGTAGTGTCACATTCATCGTGTGATAACACTCAAAGCTGCAGCTTAGTAAACCCGATGTTGTTATTGTGGTTTGGCAGTCGTTTGTTGCAACATTTGCTCGCATTTATTTGTATACACTTATTTAACGCATTTTTCTGCACATTGTCAGTTTCAAAGCCGGACTTTCTAATTGGTGTTTATGTCTAAATTTAGCTTTTGTCAGCTTTAAACCCTTGCTTTTGCAGCTGTTAAAGCTGATCGCTGTTTAATTAGCTAATTTTGATTACTTTCTAAAGAATTTTATAAACAACGGAAGTGGCAAAGGTGTTTAGCCGAGTCACATGAAAAATTTGCATATATTTATAAAACACTATAAATAGCAATGACATTCTTTAAATATATTGCGAATAAAATGGAATCAATAGATAGCTTGGCCAATGTTTATTTATAAAGTGACATAATAAACTGACCACAGGGCGTATGAGCATGTTTACCGCTTGGCCCATATGGGCTGATTTTTACCGCTAAGACCCCTCCCCTTCAACCCGCCTTGTGTTGGCCAAACGTTCGGTGGCAATGACCACTTTTTGTTGTCGCTGCTTTTCCATCGATTTTAATGCTTTTAAAAAGAAACAGGCAGCTTGTACGTAGAAGGCAAGACATCATTTTTACAATGCTACTTATGTCCACACAAACCTCGCCGGGGAAAAAGCAGCAGCTAAGCATCAATAAAAATTCAAATGTGTTCACAATTTCGCACTTGCCAGATACAAGTTGTGTGTGCGAGTGTGTGGGCTGGAAAGCATCCACATCCACAGCCACATAAAATCCACTGCCTCGTCAATGTCTCTTTCTCTTTTATTTGCGCCTAAGGTCAGCTGCAAAAGTTTCTGCATGGCCATCCACCCATCCATCCATCTCTAATGTCCATTAATTGATAATGTTGGATTACTGTTTGGCTGCAGTGCTTCAATTGCTAGCACGTAACATTTGGATCATCGCCCAGGGGCGGCAAGTTGAATCAATTAGCAACGATTCGGGCGGAGGGTCACGCGTTGGCCTCGGGCAAATGCCAAATGTTAGGGCCGCCAATCACACACTCACTTTTATCGGACCTAAAAGCACAAGTAATTTCGGTGGCCTTGCTGCGGAAATTCTCACGACGGTCTCAGCAAATAAAGGACAGTTTGCCTTGACTTTTCTGGCGCCAAAGCGCATGGCTTATTGTATATTATAGTTTTGGCAAGTAAGCTGATGCGGCATCCTGCACTTCTTCGTTTGTCGCCAGCATTTCCTGTCTGGGTCATAAACGATGTCTTTCATCACACATGGGTACACGGCAAACAACTTTGAATATTCTGAAGGTAGAATCTATTTAATAGCTGTACCCTAAACATGTTAGGACGTTTCCTTTTTATACCACAAGTTTGAAGTATTAATTAATGTAGGATTTTATTTAGTCTTAATAATAATATTTTTATCCATCCAATAATGTCTAAAAGGAGGTCCTAAGATGGTATTTTTTTTATGTGCACATTATGGGTTTCCGTTGAACTTCGGCAGAACACGCACCGATCGGTGAAGAGGTCTCCAATAGACTAATGTCCACCGACTAGACTTACGCCCTCCATCAACTAAAGCTACGTGCTTGCCATGCCAAGCGGCGGGATTGGCCATCCTCCTCCCGGTTGCAATTGCTGCAAGAGCTGGACAGGCTAATCTGTATTCAAAAGAGTCACACTCACTGGGGCCATCGACTCGATGGCCAGAAACTAGCGAAACCGAAAGTCAGATGAGTTTTTCAGCTCGAACGCGACAGTTCATTGAGTTCGTGGTCGTCGGATTGATAGAGCTGCATTCAAATGAGGCGCAAACTGAAGGTGTTGGGAGGCTTTTGTTCGGCCATATTAGATAATCGCCTTGGGGCCTTTCTATCGATGACAAAATTTGTGTAACGCAATCTCTGCTTGCTCCACTTTCAGACACTGAACACCGCCGTGGTGCAGATCTACAAGACGGAGGGCAGTGCCCACGCCCACTGGAAAAAGCGGCACACCGGAGTCGCTTGCTTCGTTAAGGATAGCGCCATTCGATCCTACTTCATGCGCGCCTACTGCCTGATCAAGAACGAGTTGATCTGGGAGCACGAGATATACGATGGCATGCAGGTGGTCAAGTCGAGACCCTTCCTGCTCACCTTTGAGGGCAGTGTAAGTATCCTCTTTAATTATGTTTCACCTCTTACAATAACTGAAAATGCTTAAGTAGATCTTTGTTTTCGAGTTACTCAAACATTTTTGTAATCTTTTTCAGGATGGTCATGTAGGTCTAAACTTCGTCTCCGAAGAGGAATGCGACTCGTTCTTTCGTATTGTGGACGCCACCATAGAGACGCGCAACCGAAAGCGCCAAGATAAGCGCAACCGCCAGAAGAGCCAGCAGGCACCAAATGCCCCATTGCCTCCGGTTTCACGGGAGCCGGCAAGGCCACCGCCCATGCAAGGCGGCATGACCGCAACGGATGGCGGAAACGTTCAGCTGCGAAATAATAAGATCAACTCGGTGACATTGACGCCAGCGCCGGCGCAAACGAAGAACTTTCTGTCGAGCAGCTTTGGGCTGGGAAGCCAGGCGAAGGACAAGAAGCGCAAGGTGACCAAGGCGGACATCAGCCAGCCGACGAACTTCGTCCACGTCAGCCACGTGGGCTGGGATGCCGACAAGGGCTTTGACCTAACTGGCAACGAGAACGACGAGGTGCTGAACGAGTTCTTCCTCAAGGCCGGTGTCTCCGAGTCGGAGCTTAAGGATCGGGACACGCGCGCCTTCATCTATGACTTCATTCAAAGCAACAACGTCCTGGCGTCGGTGAAGCAGGACAGCGTGGAATCCCCAACGGAAACAACGCCTCCCATGCCGCCGCCGGTGCCAACCCGTCATCCCACTGTAAGTTTTCCCTTAGTATGAAGAAACAATGCCTTCTCTTACCTAAATAACTTAAAAATGTTCGCCTTTGCGGAGAATTCATGGTCCAGTCCTAGAGGCATTTTTACAAGATAGGAAGAACAGTTTGAAAAATATTAGATTGAACCTGCGGCCTGGGCTGAAGTATATTGTTGAATAGAATCCGTGGAAGTAGGGAATTCTTTCAGTCTAACAGTTTTTCCATTTAAAAATTTTTATTTTGTGTTCGAATTCAAATGGGGAATGTACATATATGTTTGGGTTCGTTTCTTAGTATTTATTTTAATTTAATTATGGATTACTCATAAAAAATGGTTTCCTCGTAAATGTAATATAATCTTTAATTGCAGAATGGCAACCAAAGAACTGCACCTCCGCCGCCGCCGGCGAGACAACCACCGCCTCCAGTGCCCGTCACTGTGCCGGGGGCAACGCGAGCGCCGCCACCACCCAGCAGACCACCACCCATCAGTACCGCACCGCCACCGCCGCCAGTCAGCGCTCCCGTTGTAGCGGTAAGTTATCTTAAATCGATTAAAATAACAGACTAATAATTGCTTTTCTCTTGCAGCCACCACCACCTCCACCGCCACCACCGGCAGCGGTGCCACCACCACCGCCCCCGCCCATGCCGGTGGGTGAGATCCCCGTCATCACAACCACGCATGCACCTAATCAAGCAGCCCGGCCGGCCGCTCCAGCAGCTCCAGCGGCTCCAGATCCACGCAACGCACTAATGGACGCCATTCGCAAGGGAACCCAACTGAAGGTGAGTGAACGAGAGTTTAATTTGTTTGATTACAAACAAAGTATAAGTAGAGAAAAAAGAGATCGAATTTAAATCAAATTCATAAAATCATCACGTGGAAATGTGAATGATGTTCAATCAAGATTTATTCTACGGCCGTCTTAAAAAAAGGCCATTATTCTTAGCTAGATCAGAATGGGAAACTAATAACATTTTTAATCCAAATAGAAAGTGGATGCGGCTGCACTCAGTACTGGCAGTGCCGACTCTCGCAGTGATTTAATGAAGGATATCCGCCAGGGCACCGTTTTGAAACCGGCCAAGGAACGCGAGCTGGGCAGCCAGCGAAACAGCGACAATGGAGGCGGCACCGACGCCCTGGCCGATGCACTGCGTCGGGCGCTGGCAGCACGCGGAAACGCCATTCACTCGGACGAGGACGAGACCGAATCCTCGGACAACGAGGGCGAGTGGGACTAAGGGAGCTACAGATGACACGATGCGGGGCAGCAAACACTATTCCAAATATAAGCAATAATTTAGTTCGTGCTTTGGCATTTTGGTTTATCGTTAGATAAATCCCTGTAAATACTGTTAGTGAATTTTCATACCTCTTTAATTTAATTGTACGAGTTTAACAAAACGCAAAAAGTACTAAAGGATAACCACAAATTAAGAAATTGTATCAGCATTGCCCGCTTTCATTTGTTCCGAATCACATTTGCATATCCATAAATCTGCTCAATTAAATATGAACTATACGCATGTATGTTAGTTCAGTAATATATGTGGGTGATTTTGCAAAACCCCGTTCAGACTACTGTGCCAAAAACTTGAGAACACCAAAATGAAAAACGAGTTTGTGAAAAATTAGAGATTCACCTTATCTGCGAACTGAACAACTGTAAACTGAGCGATATAAATTTATTATAGTGAATATATTTTATAAATCTATAACAAACGAAAGGATCAAACAAAAATAAACTGTGACTACTCTTAATAAAGCCACAGTTGAGAATTATTATAAATACACAAGTTTGAACTAATAGAATTGCCCGCAATTAACCACATACTAAATTTGCTCAGTAATAATTCACTACTTGTTAAAATAATAATTAACTAATGTAATAAGTGTGGCTAAACCAATCAAATAGGAGATGAATGCAACTTATTTTGACAAGGCTTCCTCGGGCTCCGATGCGTCCGCTAAAAGCTGTCTATTACATCCAGTTACTCCCAATCGATTAATAACCTAGTAACTCATAAGTATTTTCAATTTAGTTTGAGTGCATTTAATGCAAACTTGTAGTCATTTTTCTTCTGTGTGTTTGTAATTAAATCAATATTACGTATATGTTTGTTTTTGTGACTATTTTAAACTACTAAACCCAATAAGCTTGTCAGAGCAGGAAATTTATGTGGATCAGATTTTGGATTATATGTACGCATGTCAAAAGAGTTTTGTGCGATTTATGTATTTCAATACATAATACTTACTTATGCTAATATATAAGCCATTAATTTATGTAATAAAGTTGTGTATATCTAACTTAACACTAATGCTATCCGTAAAAAGTTTATTCGCAATTTATGGTATAAGTTATGCGCTGGGGCTATAGCTCCGATTTTATCCAATTACCAAAGCATGATTTACCATCCATACATATTTACAATTTTAAACCGAATCGAAAAGAACATGCAATTTAATATTGGAAATGGCCTATTATCTAATTGTAGTCTACGGATTTACGTTTTCCTGAGCCCCGAGCGCAGCATCATCTTGCAATTCGCGCTCAATGTTGGCATTGTTATTGTTTTCGGCTATTTCGTTGATATTTGAGTCGTCAATGGCCTGACAGCGTGGCTGCCGTTGCTCCTCCTGGTCCAGCTCCTGCTGCTGCTCATTGATGCGGTTCTCAGTCTCCTCAGTTGGTCTCGCCGATGATCCCGTTGGGATAAGCTCAAGTATAGCCGGCTGCTCCTCGTGAACCAACTGCTGTACATCTTCCAATGAAGCCTGTTGCTGCTCGGAAAGCTCATGGTTGAGAACATTCTGCTGCTCCTCGTCGCATGTGTAATTATTATCTACGTAAGCTGCATCGCAACTCGGCAAAGCCTGAGTGTCACTGTCTTTAAGAGCGTTGAGTGAAACCGTTGGTAGAGACTCTGCATTGCAAGCTTCCAAGTCATGGTCATTGACACATTTCTCCGGCGATTCCGAGGTTTCGTTGGAGAGGGGTGAATTTGTGGCTGCGGGGGATTGGTTTTCAGCAATAGAAATTCCAAAATTATCCGCAGCAGAGCTACTACTTGGGAGGAATCCTATCTCGTTGTTTATAGCTGCCGGTGGATTTTCCAGGCTTAATGTGCGATGTGCGGTGATTTCCAGGGGTTGATTTTCAACTGGAGCACGTGGCAGTTCAATGTTAGATCCATCATTTTTCGAGGAGTGACGTTCGATTGGATGATAAAAACCAAATTCTGCCACGGATTGGTGTTCACCCTCACGGTTAGTTTGCAGTTCAACTGTAAACTCTGTTTGGGACTGGCTTCCACAATTCGGGTGAGATGATTGAATCTCATTTGGACCAGATGAAGGATTACCAAAATGGGATTCAACAGAGGTAGAGGCAGCATCCATTGAAGATTGTATGTTTATGACAGCTAAAGGAGGATTTTCAAGGTTAACGTCATCCTCTGACTGGGAGTGAGCTTCAACTGCCTGATGAGATTCTACCGATGATTGAATATCACTTGCAGAAGGATTTTCAGGGGTAGAGCACAGCCCTGTCTGTTCTTCCATTGAATTTTTAATGTCCATTCCAGATGGCGGAAGATCCATTGTTAAGTTACAGTCAGCATCAATTAAAGATTGGCTCTCGTTGGCCATAGGCGGTGGATTTTCAAGGTTAGAGGCAACATTAGCTGTCGCAGGTTTCTGTATCGCTTGACTGCATATATTAGTTATGACCAAACTGAAAGCAGGCTCTGGTGGTTTTTCCACACCAAATACTTCCGGAGTTTGCGGAGAGTTCTCTCCAGCTGGTAATGCAGCTGATACCTCCGTGTCCATTCTTTCTGGCCCCTCTTGGGCCGTATGTGAGGCTAGATCCCCCTCGTTTTGGGGTTCCAAAGGGGGAAACTCGATTTCACGATAAATGCGCTCTTCTTCGTCCTCCTCCATGGCTTCTTCAGCTTCATCGGCCGATGATCCACTGTCCTCATTGCCCTCGTCGTCGCCTTCGCTTTCATCGACCTTCCCTAATCCGTTGCAGTGCTGGGCCTCTGACTCGGAAATGTCCAGGTCTTTCTCCTTCTTAACGGTCACTTTGCTCAAATCTAAATTGCCTATGTAGGCATCCTCCTCGTCCATTTTCTCGTTGTGGTTAATCTCTTCTGTGGTTGCTTCCTCTTCTTCGGGCTCATCCCCATAGCCGCGGTTTCTTGGCTCAGACTTGATGGAAATATTTGGCATAATATTAAACGTCACCGCCTCGCCACTCTCCACGGCCACGATCTGCGGCAGAGGCGCCTGCTTCGGAGGCGTAGGAGTCTTGCATATAGCGCCTCCAGTACTTTTGCGTGCTGTGGACTTTACAAACTTTGATTTGGGCGGGGATTTCTTGGTCAGCGATTCCTCTGCTGTCTGTTCATCGGGAGTGGCTTCTTCGGCTCTCTCCAAAGTCATTGCCTCTTCTGCCATATCTACGCCACTGGCCACATGTGAAATCTGCATCAAACGATCAAGCTCCGTGCGATTGGGCTTAACATCTTCCTGGTGCTGGGCCATATCCTTTTCCTCTTCCTCATCCGGTTGGCTTTCATTGAAGCTGCTTTCCAATTGGGTCATGGGAATGGTGGTCATGACAGTGGCCATGGGAGCGAAATCAATGGGTTCTTGTTTTATTCTAACGACGGGCTGATTCTGAGCTTCTGGTTGGCAGCTTTCTGCCTCCGCCGATGCCTCCTTCTCCCGTTCCTTGTGCTTTCGCTTCTTTTTCTTTTTGTTGCTCCTGCCAGATGCCTGACCTGCCTCATCAAGATCGTCTATAAGCGAAGAGTTTAGCTTGCCGTGGTTCTTGGTGATTTTCAGCTTAAGTTTAAGTGGCTCCTGTTTAACCCCCATTGGCTTTTCATAGGCATCATCTACGGGTTCCTGTTTGACCGATACACTGGGCAGATCATCACTGGCAGGTGGAGCAGCTTCATCGGATGCTGCCTCCGGTTGCGCTTCCTCCTCACTGTCATCGTTAGCTGCCTGGAAATCATCGCCAAAATAAGAAGGTTCCTCTTCCCTTTCTGGCTCGGGTTCGCTTTGTGCCTCCTCTGCCGCTGGCCCCGTGTCGTTGATGTGCACCTCCGGCTCATGTTTGATGCTGACCAGAGTGTTTATTGTATTCTTGAGCAACTGATCAACTCGTTTCAAGTAGTTCTTCGCCGAGACCCGATCGCTATTTCTGCTCTTAGTGGCGCCCAGTCGGTTTACTCCAGCCGAAGCCCGCAGCAGAGGCGATGACAGGCGCTCCAGGACCACTATCGGCTGCATTCCCTCGTCTATCACGAAGTCCGGTGGCAACGCAATGGCCGGAGGGAGGCCCAACAAATCGTCCTCTACCTCGTTCTTGATAGGCATTTGTGCCTCATTAGTCACAGCCTCGGGCATTATGTGCTTCGAGTGATTGAGGTAAATCTTCGGGCAGGTGGGGGCGTGGCGCATGTAGGCGGCCTCAGTGTTTAGGGCGCGACTGCAGCCGCCACACTTGCGTTTGCGAATGGCACAGCGGTGAGTGTTGTAGAAGAAGTTCGTGACAAAGGTCTTCTTGCACAACGGGCACTCCCGGTCCAGCACGAGCAGCTGAACAGGTGTGGGCGGTGTGTGCTCCCGTAAGTGGCGAGTAAAGGCGTAGGCATTGGCCACGCTGGTCTCGCACAGGGGACACTTGTAAGGCGTCTTTGAGAGCTTGTGCCACAGCTGATGGGCTCGGATGTCGCTCTGATTATGATGCGTCTGGTTGCAGGCGTTGCACGTGTAGCGCGGAATCGACGGCACATGCACCAGACTCTTGTGCTCATCGGCCAGTTCCTTGCTAAGAAATTTTTCGCCGCAGACGCTACAAATGGACTTGCGTCCCTTTTTCGGTGGCAACCTAAGGCTGGTCTCCGGTTCAGCCGGCTCCTCTTTGCTGGACATACAAAAAGTAAGGAATTAGGTGGGCTTAATTAAAGTATATTTTAGTTACATTTCAGGCTCGGTTTTTGGCTTTATGGGAGCCGTCAGAGGAGGCTGCAGGCGCTGCTTCTTGTGCCACACGAATGGCTCCTTCTTGACCTGTGGCTTAGCATTAAGATTACTTCTTAACCAGGTGTCCTCTCCCTTGCGTTTTCTTCCCCGCTTTCCAGCTGCCCCGGAAAGGTGCAGTTCCTCCTTCGAAATGGGCTTAAAATCAATGAGCTGCGCGAAAGAAAATACAATAATAATACACACATTTCCTACGTACAGCCCTATAAAAAGGTTTCTCACCTTTGTGGGCTCTATTTGCTTTAGTCCTAGTAGGTTGCGCGTCTGCTTGTTTGTGGCGTAGCACATTTCTCGAAACTCATAAAAATCATTGATTTTCTCCACGCACTGGCTGCACATTGTCTGCGGCATTTTATCGTCCATGGACACCTGCAAAGGGCGTTGTTAAACCTGGCCAGGGAGAACTCAATTAAGACTCACCGTAAAGCCCACCAGTTCGTAGATCTTTTGGGACATACTGGGCTCGTCCAGGTCGATGGTCTCTAATTCATTAGGCAGCAGTATTTGCACTTTTCCTGGATTATCGATGCCGCACAGCCGACAGATCTTGCAGAGATTCGCCTTCAGCGCCGCGTCGATCTTGAATGCGAACCGATCCATCTTGGCCGGGCTTAAGGCGTTATCAACGGCTTTTATCAACGAAAAATCCTCATAGTTATTGGTTTTATCTCAAGCATTTTTGTTTATTTCACTGGTGCTAGTGTTGGAAAGTGCTGGAAGTGAGAATGGAAAAATCGATCTGGTATCGATAGAATCGATTCATTTTTAAGGTTCACTCTACACTGCCTTAAGTTTCCTATCGAGTAGGCTACCGATTCCTTAATTGATTGTCCCGTCCACATTTGACTAACTCCATAACTCGAGTTACGAACAGATGTTCTTTGTTAAAAAACTTAATGAAAAATGTACGAGTAAAGCCTCTGGCTGCCAATACAATAATTGGTAGAAATTTTCGAAACTTCGTTGTTTTTAAGTCATTTTCTCGCCTTTTTGTCTAGTATAATGGTTTTACATTATTTTGGTATTTGCGTATACCTTGCTGACCTCCTGCATTATAAGTTTACTTTGTGCCACTTTATTTTTAATATTTTGTAATTTGGGTTTCCTTTACTTACAAACATTTTTTTATTCCATACAAATTGGTGGTGCATACTTTTCGGCGAAATTTCATTTCCTCATTAAGTTAGTTCATCTGAACTGATAAAATGGCCGTTTCCGTTTTTTATTAAAAGCAGATGCATGTTGCATGTCAAAATTTTATGAATCTATATACTTGAACTAAAATCGAACTATTTTAATAAGTTCGCCTTATAAAAAAGGAAAAACGAGTTTTCAACTATTTTATTTATACGAATTGGCGATCTTTTTTAGCTTGTCAAACAGTAGTAGAACAAAAGTTTTTTCTATCGAGCTGCTTAAGACATTAAAAATCATTCCAGAATCCTAAAATAAATCCTTAAATTTTTGTAAAGCCGACAACCAAAAATTGTATTTTTGAAAAACACCAAAAACACTTTTTGAACGGCCTCATTTCCTACCGTTACTAACTTGGTATGTAATCCTCTAAGACTTGGTATGTAATCCTCTAAGTTAAAGCGATACCTTTCGATCGGTATATACTCGATCCGATCAAACCAACACAGCAGATGCTCATTTTTGCGTTCACATATGTACATATGCATATGGTATTCGGCTTTTCGAATCGACACCTGCTGTCTACAGTGATTTCTTTGATTAGTACAATTATTAATGGTTTAACCATAGATAATATTTAAATAATATATTTATTATAATATTGAGCACCAGGTTCGATATTTTAGTATTTTTTAATTGACGTACTGTTTCAAAATCAAAATAAAAGCAGCTCAATGGTTAAGAAAGATTCTTTTGCTACATCGTTTACCAATTGTATAGAAACATAGTTTGAAAGAGATAGAGAAATTTCTACACATGATAAACCTAAAACTAAATCATAAATACTATTTTGAAAAGTGAATTATTTAATTAAAATCTTTTATTTAAATGTTGCACTAGTTTGAATTCATGAAGTTTTGTTAGAAATGGCCTTTGTATAAACTCAGTCAACGTCGAATGTAATTTGTATCAAAACTTTAAAGGATTAAAGTGGTTTAACTATTAAAAAACGTTAAATAAATAAAATAATTAAATAAATTAAAAAATTCTCCCCTTTTATTGTAGACTTAAAAAAAATCGATTTTTTCACTGAGCCCTTTGTGTCAAATAACAAATATCGGTAAAATAAGGAGAAAGTATAGCGACGGCGTTAGTTACAAAAAAAAATAGTTTCTTAACAATTTCTTAATTTTGAAAATCTTAAAATGCTCAGTTGTAAAAAAGAAATCGGTTACACGCAGCACCATTTTGCAGCCCTCGTTTAGAAGAAAGGCACGGGGGAAACTGGCATCGCGAATTGGCCTGCACACACCCACACACTTCCTTAGGTTTTCCGATCCGATTCCGTTTATTTGGAAGGTCCTTGAGATCCAGAAGATGGAGCGGTACTTGAGCCGCCGCGAAAGTGGCTTCCACATCCACGGGGGCGACGAGAACTTCGTGATGCGGCGGATATACAGCTCGATGAACATGTTCAACAGCTACCACTCCAATTGCAAAAAGACGGAGGCGGGTCGAACCGGGGCCATCTTCAACCTAGAGTTCAATGCCGACGGCAACGTGGTGGTGGCCGCCACCGAGAGGAAGTGCGTCCTGGTCTTTGACGCCATCACACAGAAGGAGATCTTCAAGGTCCCCGACGCGCACACGGATAGTGTCAATTGCATAAAGTAAGTGGAGGAGACGGTGCCATTCCAGGAAGACCAATCCGAATACCTATATGCACAGATTCTTCGACGAGCGATTGTTCGCCACGGGATCCGACGACTTCACCGTTGCCCTCTGGGACCTGCGGAACATGAAACAGAAACTGCGTGTTCTCCATGGTCACTCTAACTGGGTGAAGAACATCGAGTACTCCTCCAAGGACAAACTGCTCGTTAGCTCCGGCTTCGATGGCAGCATCTTCACCTGGGACATCAACTCCCAGACGGAACAGGGCCTGATCTCGCAGCGCGTCTTCCACGCCAGCGGTCTGATGCGCTGCCGTATTTCGCCCACCGGCGACAAGCTGGTCCTCTGCACCAGCGGTGGCTACATCATGATCATCCATCACCTTGACCTCACCACGCTACACAAGGATCTGTGCGGATTTAGGGTAAGGAAGGGTTCTCCGGTTTTCACTTGACTCGCATTCCCACAAGTCTCACTGCGTGTTTTCCAAATCAAAACACGCAGGTATTAACACTAGAGTTGCAACACTACTTAGCCTTACCAAAACTAAAAGAACTAGAACTAGAACTTTTAAAAAAGAGAATGTTAACTCCCAAATGAACCGCGAATGTGAAAATCGAAGTCAGACTGTGGATAATTCGTTAATATCCTGTAGTGTGCAGACTCCAGACTAACCGATATTAAAAAACTAACCGAATTTTTCAGCCTGGTATCTACCGACTGATGCAGTTGGGCGAACAGTACATCCCACAGGCCGCCAAGTACGACCATGTGTTTTCCAAGCGCCAGAAAAAGAACCGCGTGGAGCTGGTCACCGACTTTCCGGAGCAGAACGACGCCGAGATGATAATGGCCTTGCAGATCCACCCGCACTGTCATTGCATGCTGACCCGGAACGTCAGCTGCGACGAGCAGAGCGAGTGGACCTGCATTCACGACATCAACGAGGAGCCGGCGAGCAACGAGGAAGAGCGGGATGAGGAAGAGCCACTGCCCAAGAAGAAACGCGTGTCCACAGGGACCGGCAGCCGCAGCAGCTCGGGACAAGACCAGGATACGGATGGCCTGCCGCCCAGACAGCCGCGGAGACCCTTGCGCATGGGCACTGTCCAGGTGTTCCATTTGGACAACCCAGGAACGGGCCGACTGGCCTCTGCCACAGCCCCAGCCTCGCCACGATCCGACACCTTTATACCGGACATCTGGGCGGCGGAGGTCACCGTCCAGGAGCGGGCCATTCGTCAGAACCGGGCGCGCAACTCAAACAACCATGTGAGCGGATACAACTTTGTGTACGCCATCAGCAGCGGAGTCCTCCCGCTGCGGCCCTCGATGGCCAATCGCTCCCCACCGTCTTCAGAGGGCAACCGGAGCAGCAGTAGCAGCTCCAGCAGCAGTAGCTCCAGCAGCAGTATCAACAGTACCAACAGCGACACCACCGTGCGGTTAGAGATCGGCCATCGGCTGCGCCTGCGACCCTTTATCCCTAGTCATGCGGCAGCGGCAAGGTCCAAGGAGAACAGCCATTCCATACTGGTGAATGCCAAGAAGCTGCTCTACTACGCCGCTGAGACCAACACCAAGCCAGGCTTCATTAAGGAGCCGGGGTTCTCGGCGGACGGGAGAATCGTATGCTCCCCGTACGGAAACGGGGTGCGACTTCTTGGCTACAGTGACGACTGCTGCGACTATCCCAGATGTCACGCGTTCGAGGAGGTAAAGCGGCAACCGCGAAAGCTGGTTGAACTGGCCAAGATTACCGAGCATCAGGACGTTGTGCTGTGCGCCAAGTTTAGCCCCAGGGAGCCGCTCCTGGTAACTGGCTGCAATGGGGGCGAGGTTACCTGGTATCGTCCCAATCTCTAGACTTCAGTTGAGCCGTTAAATCCCGTCGAGCGCTCGCTGACAAAATGTATATTTTTTATTTTCTATTTAGGCGTAGTTTGACATTATCCAAGCACCACTTGGCGAAATACAAGCAGCTATATTTATGGTGAACCGATTAAGCTGATATCTTTTATTTTACGCATTGAGGGGCTGCTGTGTGGGCGCAAACAAGTCTTACATATCCATATGTATAATTAGAAATCGATATAAAATTAAAATTAGACGTATATAACTTAACAGAGCAGCAAGGCGAAATTAATCGAGTTGGGCGTCTTAGAGCTACAGTGAGGAGTGGGTTACATCTAGGCTAAAGTCTCACTAGTAGTTCCCATAACCGCTCCACTGGCCGTAGTTGTAGCCGCCACTACTGCTGCCGCTGGCACCACCCGGTCCGTAGCCCCACTGATTGTAGTAGGAGTCGTAGGACGCCTGCTGCTGCGGCGGGTGCGGGGGATACGGGCCTCCTCCGGTATTCTGCTGGCCGTAGTAGGCGGAGGCATTGGCCGCACCATAATTATATCCAGCAGCGGCCGCAGCCGAGCCACCATTGTTGTAGGCCGCCGCCGCGGACGACGATCCGGAAGGGGCTGGACCTTCTTTGCCTGCTGACGAATTCTTGCGACTAGGACTGCTATCGCTGCAAGGGAAAATACTATTTAGATATATAAGGAAGGCCAATGTGCATTCGGTATTCTTACCCCTTCTTTTGCGCTTCCTTGGCTTTGCTTAGAGCCTGCTGAAGGTCGCGCTGGGCATCTTGCAGACCCCTGGCTGTGCTGCCAAAGTCCTCAAGAAACTCAACTTTGCGCTGGGCAAACATCACCTTCTGATCGGATTCAATGTCCGCGCGGGCCATGAACTTGTCCATGATCTGGACCACCTCCTGTTCGTCCACCTTTGGGCGCTGCAAGCACAGATCTATCATTTGCAGGGCAACCCGAGTGTTGGCCGGATCGCGTTCCAGCGCCTGCTGCAGTGCGGCCACACCCGCATCGAGATCGTGGCAGATTTTGTTAAGGAAACGGGCATACTTGATGGACAGACTGCCGGCAATGCCCTTGTTCTTTGTACTATCTATGTAGTGCTTGTACAGCTCGCGGCACTTGTCCAGCGTTCCTCGACGTCGCTCTACGTTGATCCGTCGATAGGCAAGCTGCAGGAGATTGGGACAACGCTGCTCGATGCGCTCCAGAATCTCGGCGGCCGCATCAAAGTTAAGCTGGCATTCTTCGAATGCGGCCCACATGAGGTGCAGACTGGGCTTGTCCGGATGGTGGATGCGACAGGCGCGACTGAAAACATCGCGTATTAGTTTTATTACTCCAGTCTGGTCCTCTAATGACTCCAGATAGCGAAGCATCTTCAGCCAGAACTCGTCATACAAAGCACAAGCAATTAAGCATCTCTCAAAGAGAACTAGGACGCGCTCGCGATCTCCCTTTTCAATCTCAAAGTTCAAATAGTCCTTCCAGTTCTTGAGCTGGGCCCTTTCGAGTGGCTTCACATGGAAGTACGGCCGCTTGATGCCCTCCTCGAAGGACCAGCGGGCGGTCACTGCGTTCACGGTCACCTTGTGGATCTTGCGGCGTGCCGAGATCGCCCTATCCCTTATGCTAGCCACCTCCTCGTCATTAAGGGTGCTAAGATCACTAAAATCGATCTGAGGCGCCGGCATTGAAGCTGCAGGCGATGAATCGCTTTCGGTCAGATCGGTTGTAAGGTCTGATTCATCGACATGAGTTTCACTAGTTTCCTTTGGCGACTTACCAGCACCGCCGCCAGATTCACGTTTCTCCTTTTCCTTGTCCTTCTCCTTATCCTTTTCTTTGTCCTTATCTTTCTCCCGTTCTCTTTCCTTTAAATCCTTGTCCTTTGAGCTGCTGCTGCTGTCGCGCCGGTGCTTGGACGAGGACTTGGAGGACTTGCTCTGCTGGCGCTCGTGAAATTCTTTGCGCAAGCGGACTAATTCCTCGTTGCCAATTGTGCTGGTAATAGCATGCTGATTGATCACATCCTGAAAACTAAAAAGAAAAGAGCTACATTCTGGCCTCGATAAGAGATATGTGCCCCAACTCACTTGTCAAAGTGGCCATTGTAGCCCTGAGTGGGTATGGCCAGCAGTCTGTCGTAAATCTGCACCACCCGATGGTAGCGCTTCGACTCGTTCTCCCAGCGGATGTAGGCGTCCCAAAGCTTGTCCGAGCGGAATTCCAGGCCACACGCCTTCACCGCCCGCTCGTACTGGGTGCGGATGAACTGCTCATCCTCCCCATGGTGTGACTTGACGTGCATCAGGTAGTGGATCCACAGATCCACCGACAATGGAATCGCCTCCAGGCCGCGCTCAAACACCTAGGATTTGGTCATATTCGTATGTTCGGTACAAGTTTTCGTTTTTTTTTGATTTTCGATTTGATTTTGAGTTGATCGATCGCAGAAGAGAAACATAAAAATGTTCATGGTTTATAATAATCTTTCAAGAATTACGTGCTCAAAAACTTAAGTCTATCGTTTGATGTGAATGGTGTTCGAGCTTAAGGACTAACTTAGCGACTTTACAAATACACGGAATACATAACACACATGTTGTAGTTGTTTTCTTTTTTAGGCACACACTTTTAAGTGTTTGATATACAAGAAACTTCACAAAAAGACTTAAAAATTTCATTTAAACGCCATTTGTACTTACGAATGTACGAGATGCGAGCTCACTATTTATATCGTGTTGAAGAAGGATGGAGGTAACGTAACTGAAGAGGTAAACTGGTAATACAAACGTACGAAGATCAGAAAGTAGACGGATCGAACATCGACTAGACAAGTCAGTCGCTTTCGGGTTCAGGTCGGTCTGGGTTCAAGGGGTCAGGTTAACTGAGCTGAGCTAAAGTAGTCTGGGCTACAACGTGTGTTGTGCGACACTGGGGTGATTATACTAACATCCAATTCGTGTCGTGAAGAAAATGGTTACATTTTAGGGGCAAAGATCTCCAAAAAATGTGCATAGGTAGAACAAAATGGTACTTAGTACAAGTGGTAAATAAAATAGAAAAAGTGTACATATAATTTTCTTCCCAGGTATTTAATGTTCTATGAATTGCGTGTTAGAAACCAAGGTTATGAAACCGAAACGAAAATTAATTATTGCACCATTCAAATGCAACGTCATTTAAGTGGAAAAGCCACAATAAAAAGGTAGGAAATTATTTGTAATTGAAGATTTTTCCAAAAATCAAATTTACTAGGTGATTTAATTGCAGTTCAAGTAATAATGATCTTTGAATATTGACAAGTCAAATGTGAAAAAATTACATGGTTAAAATCCTTATGAAACTTATTTTATGTCATGATCCGATATCGAAACCAGTTTCAATTTCATTCCCTGAAAAAATATTATTTAACCGAAACGAATACTATAAAAGAATACGACCCTGACTGGAGGTTTACTAGTCTCATTGCTATGTTTATTTTGTCTACTCAATTTGGTGTTTTTTTTTGTAGATGTTGCATTTATTTAATGTAGTTTTTATTAGGTTATAATAAATTGTATTTAACAACAAATATATGAATATCAATTGTAATCGTAATTGTAAGCGTAATACAAAAAATTGCGAAAGGTATTTAATTGCACGACCAAATGTATGGGAGGTACTCACCTTGTAGCAGTTAGCCTTAATGCCCTTGCGCTTCTCATAGTCGGCGTACTTGCGCCAGTAGCCATAGCAGTAGGGATAGTGGGAAAGGAATGTGTCGTAGGCCTCGCGAGCCGCCTCCGCATCTGACTGTAGTAAAAATAAATTAAATGAATTTTCAGTCAGAAATATCATATTGACTGCGGACCCACCTCACTGTCCACATACTGCAGTAAGTACGTCCAGCCAGTGAAGTCGGTGGAGTCCTCTTTGACCGCCCTCCAGTATTTGTCTAGGTCGGGGAGCTTTTTGCGCTCCCTTTCCTTGTCCTTATCTTTCTCTTTATCCTTATCCTTCTCCTTATCTTTCTCCTTATCGCGCTCTTTTTCCTTCTTTTTGTCCTTGGGTTCCGATTCTGTGGGTTTGAACATTGTGTGAGTTTGTTATATCAAGATAGTTGTAGATTATAAATTCGTACCTTCAATCTTGACCCTTTTCTCTGATGGCTGTGCATCATTGCTCTCCGACGTTGGACTTCCCGGATTATATTGTTCTTCAGACTTATCTTTTGCGCTCGTTTCACGACTAATCGTGTCATTGTTTTCAGTACCCTTATCAGTTTCTATTGCTGCCTTTCGCTTTGCAGCCTTGGGCTCACTGGCGGCATTGTTGTTGTTGTGGGTGGGCAGCTCGTCCTCGGAGATCACCTCAGCATCCGCTGGAAGCTCGGCCCTCTGTGGTGCCGGCAGCTCCTCGTCGGACACTTCCTCGGCATCGTTGATCTCCGGCTTGCTAGGAGGAGGTAGTTCGTCCTCTGAGATGATTTCTGTGTTGACTATGGTGGCATTGCTGGTGTCCGCCTCATCCGCTAGATCTTCAGCTATAGCATGGTGTGAGCTAGAGTCCTCTGACGAATTTAGTTTGTCAGCCTGGGGCTGCAGGGCCTCTACATTGTACTCAAAGTCCGCCTTCTTGGCGTTGTCACTCTCATCATTTCCACCCACGGATGGCAGACTGTTGGCATTATCGCCGGCCATAGAAGCCAGCAGCGTGTCTACGCCGGCTTGTCCACGACTTTCCTTAATATCATCGCTGGTCTCCGAATGCTGCTCCGCCACCGTGCTAAACGGAAAGGACGAGCTCTTCTCATCCACGCCACCAGTTTCGGCAGGCGTCAACATCTCCACATCGTCATCCAGCTGGTGCTGTGTCTCTTCGAACTGGGGCTCCAAAGCGGGAGCCTCCTCAGTCGCTCCCGCAGATGGCTCCTCCTCCTCCAGAACCATAACCACCTGCTCGGGTTCGGGTTCCTCTTCGTGGTCACTTAGCTGGAAGGATAAGGGAGATTAATAGTTGCCAAAGGTATTGCCTGTTGATTAACGGGTTCTGTCCCATCAGTTGGCCCTTGCATGTAATCACATGCTCCTCCTGGGAGGAAGATCATGTGCGGATGGAACAACGCCACATCCGCACTGGAAATTGCAATCGTTTACATCATTTGATGTGTGTCTAATGTAAATGCTTAACTGGTAAGATGTACTGACCTGTGCGTTCCGCTTTGATGTGCGACGAGTGCTCCTAGTTGGTAGCGATGCAGCCGGCGATGCGGCCTTACGTCCGGAACGTGTGCGGCGACCTGGAAAACGGAAATTAACTATCTTAGTTAATCCATGTGGTTTACATAAACTGTACGTGCGGTGTTATGGATTCGCTGCCTCGTGATGTTCGCGTTTTTTCGAACTGTCTTTAAAGCCTATTTAAAACGACTGGCAATGTCAAGTTTCGGACTAGTCCCATCAGAACTGAGTAATTAGTCGCCGGCCACTGCGTTCCGGTCGAATGAAGCTCGTTATTTTTACAATTTTGGACTTTACCTGGACTTTCCATCAAAACGTTTTCGCCCTCTGACGCCATATTTATTACACAGCCGAGCAGTGCTCTGAAAAATACCAAATCATACCATCTATGTATTTTGAAATGAATTAAGCATACCGAAAAATACTTAGTAGCTAGTTTTGCGGTAAAATAGCCATATACTTCAGTCGAAAAACAAGCTAATAAATTGCATTTGGAAAACCGGCTATGAATGGAATTAATAGTCTAATGTTCAATTGTAATATTGAGCAAATATTTAATCTAAAAAATATTATATTTAAATAATAAAAGATATATTTACAACATTTAAGTGCCAATCAGGAAAGGCATATACATCTAGCTATTAAACCGCCAGCAACCATCATTGTTGGCGGGACTGCCATTAGTGCGCGTCTTCCAACACTGTTCTCAAAATGGCGACTCGAGAATTGTAAGCGTGACAAAAACAACAAAGCCGAGGCGCATTTCACAATAATTAAATGTTTTTCGAGCAATTGCGGCGCGTTTAACCCAGCAAAACCGTTTGCAATGAGTGAATTAAGGACCCAGTGACCGGTTTAAGACGACCAGTGATTGTGAAGCGCCAGCGGCGCTGCGAACTAAGCCAAAATACGGCGAGCGAAAACGCCGACCGCATAACCTGTACGTGTACGCAAGGCAAGGCGAATGGAGGGCGGCAAGGGCAAGAGAATGAAGGAGGAGGCGCCAAGCAAGAAGTTGCCGCCTAAAATCTACGGCGGCGATATGTGCACCCCCACGAAGGCGGCCCACGACGAGATCCTCAGCTCGCTGCTCCGGATCAACAATTTCGACTCGATATCGAGCATCAAGGACGAGTCGCTGGACATCGATCTGTCCGCCTGCGTGACCATCAGCTCCGCCAGTTTGGTTAATGGGAACAGCCTCTCCTCCACGGACTTTTGGCGCGTCCTGGATGAGAGTGCCCAAAACAACACCGAGCTGAATCTCTCCTCGGATGTATGCCGCGATGATCTGGCGGCCACCAGCTCCTCCGCCGTGCCCAGCAGTTTGGCCAGTGATAACCACTCTGGATCTGAGTTTAGTGTGACTTTCCTGCGACCCGAGCCGCCGAATGCCTTCACCAACTCACCCTTCAAGAAGACCTCTTCCAGTGGCACATCCACGCCCGTGAAGCTATCGCCAGAGCAGATCCAACAACAGCAGCAGCTCCAGATGCCCCAGTTGCTGCAACGCAAACCCAAGTTACCGGCAGCAACGGCGGTGCGTCTAAAGGTATTTAAGGAGGAGCCGCCCGAGGAGAAACATCCGCCAGAACAAGTGGTTACCAAGATCGAGCTGTGCGAGTCCGAGTTCCTGCCACCCTCGTTCACCATCTTTCAACAGGCCAAGTCTGCAGAGGCAGTTGCAGATGCAGTTAGTATGCCGCCACCGGCAGCCTCGGAAACCAAGCTGTTCGAGGTGGATCCGGCACCGCTACATAAGTGCCTCGACTGCAATGGGATGCTGTTGGAGACGCCCGATGAAGTGGCCAAGCACGAAGCGGCCAACCATCGGTTGAGGCTTACTTACCGCTGCACCGAGTGCCAGCGGGAGTTCGAGGTGCTGGCTGGATTAAAGAAGCACTTAAAAACGCACCGTACAGAGGGACGCAAGGACACCTGGAAGAAGTGTCCCGACTGCGGCAAGTGGTAAGTAGAGTCAGAGATCTCAAACCTTTCACACTTTTTAAACTATTTTTACCTACACTTTAGCCTCAAATTGGGCAGTATGTGGATGCACCGGAAAATCCACAGCGATAATAAAAAATACCAGTGTGACGTCTGCGGCCAGAAGTTTGTTCAGAAAATAAACCTAACGCACCACGCTCGGATTCACTCATCCGAGAAGCCCTACGAATGTCCCGAGTGTCAGAAGCGATTTCAGGAGCGCTCCCATCTGCAGCGCCACCAGAAGTACCACGCGCAGACGCGTTCCTACCGCTGTGAGAAGTGCGGCAAGATGTATAAAACGGAACGCTGCCTCAAGGTCCACAACCTGGTGCATCTGGAGCAGCGACCGTTCGCATGCACCGTGTGCGACAAGAGCTTTATCAGCAACTCAAAACTGAAGCAGCACTCCAACATACACACGGGCATGCGGCCTTTTAAGTGCAACTACTGTCCGCGCGACTTTACAAACTTTCCCAATTGGCTAAAGCACACGAGACGACGCCACAAGGTGGACCACAAGACGGGCGAACACCTCGAGAACATTCCCTCCTATTGCTCGAAAAAGTCGACCAGCAACAAAGCCCAAAAGGCTGCGGCGGCAGCAGCAGCGGCGGCGGCGGCGACAGCAGCAGCAGTAAATCCCGATGACCTTTCCGCTTCTGCTGAACTGAAAGTGAAGCCCAATATTGCACCTACTGCAGCACCGGCGCCCACAAAACAGACACGCAAAAAGAAGCAGCCACAGCAGGCCACCCTTGCCGCTTTGGGAATCACTTTGCCAGCGGGTACAGCCCTGCAGCAGGTGCACCCGACGCCACCAGCACAACCGCATCAGCAGGAGCTGACAACTGTGTTGGTTGCGCTGCCTCCGCCAGCACCCAAGCAGACCAAAGCAAAGCGAGAACGCAAGCAGCTGGCGCCCAAGCAACTGCAGCAAAAACCACCGCAGCTTTTGCAGCAGGCTCAATTACCGCAGTCCACTCTGGAGCCTATTGCTCCGGTGCCACAAATCAAGAAGGAGCCGGTGCAGAACCAGGGTCCATTCCTCGACTTGCACGGACTCAGCCTGACTTCAGCCGAAGAGCTGATCATGGAGCAGGCCCTGGAAATGGAGGAGTGCGGTCTGTACGATGCCCCTAATGCGAACACTGAAATGGGGACATCTGACAACGCAATCTCAGACTCGGCTGCTGCCCTTCACTTCCAGATAAAGAACGAATTACCGGACGATATGTTGCCGGATGATGATTTTAGTAAGTTTTTCAAAATCGTTAAATCTTGATTTTAAAAATGACAGTTTCATGAAAAGTTAAACATTTTTAAAGTAAAACCAACCCAGATAATTTAAATATATTAGATGTATTACTAGAAATAGTGTTTGAATGTACGTTATTCTTTATTTGCAGTGCCTTGTAAACCCAGCGATCGCATAGCTTGTCCCTCACTAGAGTCTTCGCCGTTCTCGTCGCCCGCCTCCATGGAGCTGACCGCCGTCTCCTCATCAAGTGCCGCCACATCGACGCAAGCAATACCGGTGAGATCTGGGAACTACTACCTGCCCGCCTTCACGCTAAATGCGCACGGCAAGCTCAGCAATACGGGGAATGCAGCACAGTCTGTGACCACTAGTTTAGCTCAGACACCATCCGTGTCCATGGTGAATGTGCCGCTGCTGGTGAGATCTAACCAGATGTTGCCATCAGTGGATACGCTACTCTTTACCAACCAGACCGGTGGCAGTCGATTCTTTGCGGGGAAGTCGGCGACTGCAGCCACGTCGCATATGACATGATCAGGCGGCGGCGTCTGCTGCCCGTCAACATGAACGCCTCAACGATCTCCTGTGTCTTAGTTAAGTTAGCAGTGTGGACTTTGTTGCGCCCACGCAATTGGGCGGTCGCTGACCACTGGCAATCGTTTAAAGAATTCGGATGAGTGTCCGTAGGTTATTAAGAGTATGACGCTAAATTTGTTTAAGTGATAGACCTAAGCTGATTTCTGCATAGCGCCTAAGTGTATTTGAGTGTATATATAAACGTTTATATATAGAAACATAATGATAAATCTTTGATTTGTACGCTTCACACCAATAATAAATTTCGTACATATTTTATTTAAAGGCCAATATTTTTTTATTGTTAAAGCTTTTGCAAGTTGGCCGTTCGGCAGCCAAGGATAAGTCTACAAAATGTGGTGTTTCGCAGTTGGTTTGCTTATACGCTAAAATCAATTTTAAAAAAACTCTTTCTTTTGTGTATTTATTTTACTTTTTATTTATTTGTTTGATGTAACATAATGTCTGTAATACCTTTTATCGCTTCTTTTGAATCTTGAATAAGTCGCCTTTTATTTCAAAGCAAATGCGAGTTGCCCTCTCGACACCGCTTAAATCATAAGCTCGTAACATTATGTTGGCCTTGTAGCTTCCTTCTCGAAGTGGCCCCAAGGATTCAGCTGTCATATTTAACGAAAAGGTCTCATACATCATTTTGGTCTGCAATGCGAAGAAGTGGAAATAGGTTTATAAAGTAAGAAATGACTGAAAATGCATTTATACATACTCCAGGAACACAGTCACATCTGTTTCTAACATCGTTTGTAATATGCCCGGACCAATATTTGTAATGTAACTGACTACTGTCGAACACTGTTGGTGTCCATCTGGAAGGATATATTTGAAATATTTCGAGATGTATTCATTTTATTGTTGAATGGACTTAATCACCTGCACGCGATCCAACATATAAATGTCCCATTTCAAAGACAAATTTCCGCTGACGCTTATACCCTCAGCATTCATGGAAGTGGTTAGGTCTGATAAATCCTTGAAGCCATTAATGTCAAGTGTGCCGGGCTCAGAATTAGGACAACTGCTGAATATTTCCTCATCCAATACCGTAAGTTCGTACTATTCTCCATTTGCAATGCTCAAAAAAGAGAGCACTGTTAGTAGTATTACTGCCAAATCCATTATTACCACGAAATGTAAATCGGACAGTTTGAGACCCAATATATACGTTCCAGTAGCTCGCAACTCTGATGTTAATTATAATAATTACTCACACCTACTCCTGTTTTCTACTGCTCGATTCCTATCTTTAGTAATGTTAATTGTATAACTAAATGTGTATTGTACATTAAACACGTTAATGCACGCGGATTTGCTGCTTTAGGTTATAACACTGATATAGTCGGATAAACATTTCCAACTTTGGTTTAGAAAATTAAATTAAATTAAGATGTACCCCTTAGCTGACTATATATAAATGTAGTTAAGAACCACAACAATAAGCTGGATGGGCATATTACTAATTATATTAAGTTCCTTTAATTCCTAGGAAGCATATGCGAGAGAACCTCTTGGTTTTGGAGGAATCGAAAGCACGGAACACTATGTTGGTTTTACAGTTCCTGAAGTAAGTATATTGCTTATATACCTTCATTTACAAAAAAAAAACAGAAATTAATTATATACTTAAAATGTATAATTATTTATAAATGCCTCATACCTCCTACAATTGTATTATTTTAATAAATAAAAAAAATTGTTATTTCGAATCACAATTTATGAAAATTTAAAAAAATTAACATTATTTGTTTTCGGCTGAATTTTATTTAAAAGATGTAACATAATGTCTGTAATACCTTTTATCGCTTCTTTCGAATCTTGAATAAATCGCCTTTTATTTCAAAGCAAATGCGAGTTGCTCTCTCGGCGCCCATGGAATCATAAGCTCGTAACATTATGTTGGCCTTGTAGCTTCCTTCTCGAAGCGGGCCCAAGGATCCAGCTGTCATACTCAACGAATAGGTCTCATACATCATTTTGGTCTGCAATGCGAAGAAGTGGAAATAGGTTTTTAAAGTAAGAAATGACTGAAAATGCATTTATACATACTCCAGGAACACTGACACATTTGTTTCTAACATCGTTTGTAATATGCCCGGACCAATATTTGTAATGTAACTGACTACTGTCGTACATGGACTTACAAAAATCCTTAAAAACCTGTGAGAACACTGTTGGTGTCCAGGATCCTCTGTCGAAATATAGAAGGTTCACGTTCATCTGGAAGGATATAATCGAAATATTTTGAGGTGTATTCATTTTATTGTTGAATGGACTTAATCACCTGTACGCGATCCTCCAGCTGAATGTCCCATCTCAAAGTCGAATTTCCGCTGACAGTTATACCCTCAGCATTCATGGAGGTTTTTAGCTCTGATAAATCCATTAAGCCATTCATGTCAAGTGTGCCGGGCTCAGAATTAGGACAAATGCTGAATATTTCCTCATCCAATACCGTAAGTTCGTACTGCGCTCCATTTGCAATACTCAACAATGAGAGCACCGTTAGTAGTATTACTGCCAGATCCATTATTACCACGAAATGTAAATCGGACAGTTTGAAACCCAATATATACTTTCTAGTAGCTCGCAACGCTTATGCTAATTATAGTAATTATCATCAACCTACTCCAGTTTTCTACTGTTTGTTTTCCATCTTTAGTAATTAATATTTATTAATTGTATAACTGAATGTGTATTATACATTAAACACGTTATCATATTGCACGTGGATTTGCTGCTTTAGGGCTTAACACTGATATAGTCGGATAAACATTCCTAACTTTGGTTTATCATCCTGTTTTAGCGGGGTTTGGGTCCGATAGTGTGATAGACTGAAAGCGTAAAAGAAAATTAAATTAAATTAAGATGTACCCCTTAGCTGACTATATATAAATGTAGTTAAGAACCATAACAATAAGCTGGATGGGCATGCTACTAATTATATTAAGTTCCTTTTATTCCTACGAAGCACATGCGAGTGAACCTCTTGGTTTCGGAGGAATCGTAAGCGCGGAACACTACGTTGGTTTTACAGTTAGTGAAGTAAGTATATTGCTTAGCGCTCAAATAGTCTCAAAAATAGTTTACTAATGCATATTAATAGGATATTATTTAAACCTACCCACCCTGTAAACATTAATACTATCACTCCTGGCTTCGTAAAGTTAAAACTTTTGAAAGGGTTAAGAAGAGGTACAGATCCCTTATGCTTGCGCAATTCAACGCTGTTCTGTAAGAGTATATTTATCTTTATCTCTATAATTGTTAATTATATGCTTAGCATTTTTAATTAATAAAAGAAGCCTCATTTATAAAACAACAGAAATTAATTATATACTTAAAGTGTATAATTATTTATAAATTCCGCAAACCCGCACAGTAGTTGGACCTTATGTCGTTAGCACGAAATTTGTATTATTTTACTATATAAAAAAATGTTTATTTCGAAGCACAATTTATGAACATTTAAAAAAAAATACACATTAAATTGTAACTACCCTTACAGCTTTTACCCTACCAAAGCTAAATAATAAAGCAGTTTTTATTGATATAAGTTTTTTAAATTGGTTCTGCTATCCTCCTATAGAAAATGCAAGAGGGGAAACTCAGGCCGCACAAAATGCATGCATTGCCCTAAGGGTTGTTCCAGTTCTTTTTGCTATTACTTTGAGTAGTACTCAAATGGCTGTTTGTCAAAGTCAGCAGGCGAACAGAGACTATATACGGTTTGGGTTTGAGGCTTCAGTCTGGGGTGCCATTCAAAAGAGGGATTGGCTTAACGATTTTTTTGGAGTGGGACTTTTTTTTTTCTATGGTCTTTACTAAGTTATTACAACCCCCTTTGACTTTTATATATTATAAAACCATGTTCAATCAAATACATTGTTTTATAGCTGCTTAACCCAAAAACATATTTCTATAAGCCCTGCATTACGCAAAAACCATTCTGTAAAATGATGTCCTACTTTCTTGTTTTGGATTGTACATATCTGTTGAAATTTATGGCAACCTTGTGTTATCAAGTAGACAACACATAAAGCTTCTAGGCATCGTCGGAGGTCATGTGATATATTGCCTCGTTGGGAGCAAATTACGAAATTGATTTGTATATTGGGTAATCGAACTGAAGTTCACACTTTGATTTCTGTCTCGTATTATGAGCAGCTTTTGGAGTAATAAAGCGTTTTGATTTGGGGCCTTACAAATAGCAAACCGTCAGGATGGCCCATAAAACGGTTTGTTCAAATGGGGCAACTAAAACCCTTTCGATGTCGACGTAAAAGGATAGACATGGACACGCAGACGGTGAGCCTGCTTCCGAGTTCCATAGCCCACATCCCCGTAAAAGGGAATCGCACACAACGTTCGCTGACAATGTCGCGACAACAGAAATGACAGCATAATAATAATAAAAGGGAATAAAACACACAGGCACATTTACCCACATCCAAAAGGGGATCCACAGCACTGGAAGCAACAAAAACAAATAGAGCAACAGCGATAAATATCGAAAGGCATAAATAAACCTGAGTTTGGCTGCGTGGGAGAGTGAAAAGACAGGAGCAGACTGCAGCTCCTTCAGGTGGCTTTCAATGTAGTTCAAAAAATGGTCTTAGCTTGAACCGAAACAGTTTAAAAGAATTTAGTTTCAAGTCAATGTGTGCTTCAAGAATCTTTTGTCCTTACCCCATCTTGACTTGGCTGGCTTCAGTAAGATAATGTAAGTAGGATAATTGAATTGTATATATTTTCAGGATACAATTCACTAAATTTAGTTACATGATCGAATGTTAAGTATTGAATACTATTTTATGGGCACTACAACTACAAGATAAAGCTCCAAATATCTAACTTAATCTAATGTTTTATATTGACAATCATACATTTTTTATTGGCCCCGTTTCCTGCTGGCGCCCAAGAGGCGACCCAGAATAAAGCGAAAGAGTTACGCGCTGCAACAACAATGAAGAGCCGCTCGTTGCGGCAAAAGTGAAGATGCCTGGCGTCGGTTTGTCGACGCTTGGCGCGTTTTGTAAATATTTACACATGTAGCAGTTACCTGTGATTGTAGCGCCATTGTGTGGGCGTGGGTGTGTGTGCTCGGGGATGTGTGTCTATAAATACACACACACCCACGCATATGCGCCAGAGCCTCGTCACAATATGTGTGAGTTTAAATATTTGCCGCTTGCCTTCCTAAAAGAAAACATTGCCTGCTTTTGGGGGCTGTCATTTATTACTGTCTGCCGATATTTTAATTAAGTTTATAATGCCAGCTGCTTTGGCAATCGTTTGTGAGGCGGGCATCACAACAGTGGGCGTGGCGCCGCCCTTTTAAGCCGACATCTTTCCTTACCACCCAAAACCCCCCTCTCAGTGCACAAAATCAAAGGCAACGGAAAGCAATAACACACGTGGCACGTGACTTGTTTACCATATCGAATTGTTTGTCTTTACGGTTTAAATGTCGCAGTGCACATGCAAAGATATATACACGCAAATTCAGATCAAAATCTCCTATCATGGCTTATACAGTTGTGTCTAATATTATAGTATTGCTCTTTTCAGGGAAATTTAACTTTATTTCAAAATTTGTGCCAAGTACTGATTTTAAATAGTAATATTTTAGTTTCATTCGAAAAATATGTAAAAGCAGTGTATAAAAACATTTTAAAAATAAGTTATAAAAAACTGTTGGCTCCTGGAATTATAAAGAAAGGATCATGATGTCAGTGTTATAATACGCTCCCATTTTCACCGCAGGTGTATAAATATACAGATATGTTAGCACAAGCAACAACTGAAAGTGTGTTTTTGCAAAAAATGGAAATTGATACGTGAATATGGCTGGCATTGTTGATGGCTGCTATTGGAACGTGAGGGGGCGTGGGTCAATCAGCAGGAACCACAGCAACAGTAATGGCACCAAATCCCAGTACAATAGCTCTAAGAGTGACTTTAAGCGACGCTGGGGAAAAACAAGCGAGACATCCACAAAAAACCTTCATTGCGAGCAAAAATAGCCACAAAGGCCGTCGAGAGGCCAAGTCTGCAGCGGACATACGAACAATTGCAAATTTCGTTTCATATTGTTTATTAATTGATTTTGTGTGTACCAGTACTGTCTGAGTCTCAGGTTGAATGCTTATATCTTTTTGTGTGTCCTGAGGTTGTCACGTCGGCCTGTGGGTGTGCTAGAAATTTTTGTTTTCGCCCCCTCATCGTCATTTTTCATATTCAGCGGGTCCAAAAGGAGCCAACAACTTGTACTTATATATGGCGCAGTCAACCAAGTTTCTCCTTCTCGGGAGATTCTTTCTTTTTGTTTTGTTTGCATAAATCAATTTATCAATTTCAAAGTTGCCGCGCTACTTGGCTTGTTGCTGGCGTTGTCGCACTGGCGAGTTTGTAAACGCTTGTCAGAGTGTTTTGCTTTTTGCCACGCTCGGAAAAATGCAAATGCAAATTCAAGTGCAGTTTGCCGCGAAACGCATAAAATACCATTCGAGGAACCGGAAAGCAGACGGAGGAAATGAAACGAGACAGACGGCTTTCGACTGGCAATGGGACTGAGGCAGCGAAACCAACTTCATTTGTCATTTTGTCACATTAACGCAATGGAAATGCAATATGCTAATGTCAAATTTTATGAATGAGCATGAAAATATTTGCCATAGCTGCTTGATTTGATGTTAAAGTATTTACCAGGGGAAGAGAAGCCCATTAATGTCTAAGAAATATTGCCGGTGTGTTTTTTATGGTTATATAAATTATTTAACCACAATTTAAGATTTAATGCTGTTTACATGGAGCTCTTGATTTACACATTTCATTTGAAGTAAAAGAATTTGAATATTTGTCATTAGTTGTATTTATTTATTCCTTATTTATATAAAATCATAAGTCAGCATATCTCTTATAGAACTTTAATCTTATTTTTAAACTATTTTTAAATTTTAGACAAATTATTTGACTATAATTATAACACAAAATAATAAGCTTCCTCTTTTTAATCAAGCAGATATTGCATTAATGCTGATTAGCTGTTAAAATCTTGAGTCAGTTCATGGTTTGAAAATGGCTGTCAAAAAAGTGGAGTTATTTTAAAATCTTTAAAAGCTGTTTAATCTAGTGTCGAAAAACCCTCTTATTTCTCACGCCAACTCGATTTTATTCTGGATTTTCTGGGAGTTTTCCTACCGCTCTCTTCCTCTTCCAGCCCGCTTCCGTTTCCGCTCGCCACCACGCCCACACAATTAACGATTCATATGGCACGCATTTAAGTTTCGCATTCCGAGTGAACTGAAAATCTTCTGCTACGCTTCCTTGGGCTCTCAAAATGCAAAACTCAAAGTCAACTTGAAAGTATAAAATGTCTTGTAATAGTGTGTGACTTTGTGTGCAGGATATGGAACAAAAATCCGATTTTCATTAACCCGCACAAATAGAGCAAGAGAGGGAAACTGGTAGATTTTCCCTGGCCTGGCAACCGAAAAGTTTTGAAGGACGACATTTCTATTCATTAGT